CAATCAACCGGTACGAGGTTAGGCCGAGACGGATGTGAAAGCCTTCTAGGATTGGTACGTTAGTGAACGGCATGCAGTGGGTGAACGCCTGAAATTAGACAAAATTGCAAAAATTGCAGAATGGAGTTTGATATTAAGGAGATATCTGGTGGTCACTTATTTAATTTCATGACATTGTGATAGGTCTTGAATGACTGTAGAGCAAGTTATGGGAACAAGTAATATTTCGGTAACATTAAAATGGAGGGTAGGTTTTAGGACTCTAATCGATGTGAATTTTTGTAGAGGCTTGCACTATTAATATATGGGATGACTGAATTTGTTCAAGAAGGCTCAATAAATGTACTTTAGGTAGACTCTATCAAGTATTATTGCATTCTCGAACTCAAACATGGAATCATTCTGGTGTATTCTTAAGTTTTATTCAAACCCACTTTTTATTCCGTTATTTTTTTTATACCCGGGGTTTTTCACGTTAAAAAAACCAGCCCGGGTGGGTAGGTGGGCAGCTACCCACCCAGGCAGGTGCCCAGTGGTGCAACCCTGTGATCTCCACTGGTGCATGCAGTGGGTGAACGGTGGATGCAGTGGGTGAAAAGCCTGAGAGTAGATGGAAGGAAGTCAGAGGAAGGCCAAGAGAAGAAGAGAAAGTCAGGACTGAGAAAGAAGTGGAAGCTACGGAGGTCGGGTCAATAGATGTGAAGGTCAAGAAGAGGACAAGAGAAGGTCATGTGAAGACCAAGTGAAGTCTGTACTATGTACTATGAGTGGTCTGTACTACTACTTGTGGTCTGTACAATGAGTGTCAGGAGATGGACGGAAGGATAAAAATAGTAGGTTGGAGGGATAGAATATTTCCGAAAGCTGAAGAGAAAACAAAGGCTTGGTGAAGGGTGAGGATGAAGAGGGAAGGCAGTGTACAAAATATAATAGCAAAGGTGAAGTGAAGGCTAAGAAACAAGAAGGCAGGGGAATACGATTCAGAAGTAGTATGAAGTCCATCTAGGAAGGCACCAAAGCGAAAAGGACGGTTGAAGTTAGTTGAAGCTTTGGAAGGCTATAGCTTAGCAAAGCAGAGAAGGCCGGAGGAAATCTGAGGCATGCAGAGGATAACTGAACAAGGTTAATTTGACAGTTGATTTGATATATATTAATATAATCTATAGTAATATTAGAAGGCCAGGCGAAGGCACAGCAGCGGAGGTGTGCCGCTCCCCGCTCAGGTGCGCGGCATCGATTAAGCCTCGGACCTGCGAGGCTGGGGAGGATGGGTGAGGCTGGGGAGGATGGGTGAAGGTGGCTGGGGATGAGTTTAGTTGGACGAGGTTAGGTACTGTGTCCATGGGTCATGCCAGTGCGGTGGTTTTGGTTTATTTTAGATTTGCTGGTTAGACGGGCTAATTTCTAGCCTGTCACTCTTGTCAACTTCAAAGCTGTCAGCCCGAACTTAAGTTGGTCGCTGCTATCTCCGCTCGCAAATTTGGATTGCGGTGCAGACTTGAATAAATTGATACCTCGAGCTTGTAGCTGATGCAGCGAATATACTAACTGATATCCTAGCAAATATCCTAGCTATTATTCAAGCTAATATCCTAGCTGATATCCTAGCTGTTATCATAACTGATATCCCAGCTTTTATCCTAGCGCCATGCTAGTACCTGATATCCTATAGCGCCTGATGTCCTAGAGTAACTAGAGCTACCATCAGTTACTAAAGTGACTCGAGTGTTTGCTAGGACAAAAAATACGCTGTTGATCAATATGTTGGAATTTAATCAATCATTTAGTCATGCTTTTTCTTTATTTAGTAATTACCTAAATAGTAATTTTCTAGTTAATGGAAAATCGTTGTAGTGGAAACATTTTGCCTTGAGTGCGGCACTATGGATACGTCAAGCCAGAAGACACGTCAAGCCAGAAGATTCGTCAAGCCAGAAGATACGTCAAGCCAGAAGATACGTCAAGCCAGAAGATACGTCAAGCCAAAAGATACGTCAAGCCAGAAGATACGTCAAGCCAGAATATCGTCAAGCCAGAAGATACGTCAAGCCAGAAGATACGTCAAGCCAGAAGATGCGTCAAGCCAGAAGACACGTCAAGCCAGAAGATGCGTCAAGCCAGAATATCGTCAAGCCAGAAGATGCGTCAAGCCAGAAGACACGTCAAGCCAGAAGATGCGTCAAGCCAGAAGATACGTCAAGCCAGAAGATGCGTCAAGCCAGAAGACACGTCAAGTCAGAAGATACGTCAAGCTAGAAGACACGTCAAGCTAGAAGACTCGTCAAGCCAGAAGATACGTCAAGCCAGAAGACACGTCAAGCTAGAAGATGCGTCAAGCCAGAAGACACGTCAAGCCAGAAGACACGTCAAGCCAGTAGATACGTCAAGCCAGAAGACACGTCAAGCCAGAAGATACGTCAAGCTAGAAGACACGTCAAGCCAGAAGACACGTCAAGCCAGAAGATACGTCAAGCCAGAAGATGCGTCAAGCCAGAAGATGCGTCAAGCCAGCGATCCTGTGTTCAATGGACAACTTTTCTCGCAGTCATAATTGCAGGGTAACTTCTTGTGGGAAAAGTTAGGGAGTGGGGAGAGTTGGGAGTTAGGGAGTGGGGAGAGTTGGGAGGGAACAATATTAGCAGCCACAGCAGCAGCAGCAGCCACAGTAGCAGCAGCGTGTGACCTATCACCAGCAAATCGCTTCAAGATTCCCAGAATGTCTATAACAAGAGCTTTGCACAGCGCGTCCTGCACAGCGCGTCCTGCACAGCGCGTCCTGCACAGCGCGTCCTGCACAGCGCGTCCTGCACAGCGCGCCCTGCACAGCGCGGCCAGCAGCGGCAGGCACAGCAGCGGCAGCAGCAGCCACAGCAGCGGCAGGCACAGCAGCGGCAGCGTGTGATCTATCACCAGCAAATCGCTTCAAGATTCCCAGAATGTCTATAACAAGAGCTTTGTACAGCGCGGCCTGCACAGCGCGGCCTGCACAGCGCGTCCTGCACAGCGCGTCCTGCACAGCGCGTCCTGCACAGCGCGGCCTGCACAGCGCGTCCTGCACAGCGCGTCCTGCACAGCGCGACCCTTCCTCCTGTTGTAAATAAACACAGAATTTCTGAAAATAAATCAAAGTATTTTTGATAATGAAAAAAATGAAGTAAATAATATAACTAATAAGAAAGTAGATAAAATTGATACTAAATAAATGAATAAATATCGATAATAAAACGAACAAATACATAAATATACGAGAAAATCAAATCCCATGGCTGTTACGTGCAAAATATTCAAGCGCATTTGTTTCTCTTGTTAAGAAATGTTCCATATTTCTGTTCATTCGGCATCAACATCTTTGCCTTGTGTTGAATGCCTGTGTCCTAATCATATAGAACTTCTAGATTTGGCTAGAAATAAGCATTTTATGGAGGTTGATTCAATTTTCAATTGACAGAGCCAATATCCGTCGGTCAGATATGTGGAGGTACTTAAATCTTCGACGTAGAATCCGTAGAGTTTCCAATAACTGAATCGTTCTTATACATAGGCGCTTCTGCATACATTTCGTTCTCGTCTGCCGCTTGGGTCGATATATCCCGAATTAGTGTCATTCACTGAGCGATGGTTCGAAATTATTCATGTATTGATCCAACAACTGACATTTCCTAGCCCACTGACGTCAGTTGCAGGGAGTCCCTATATATTTACCTCTACCAACATCTGTTTCTGAGGCTTTCTTTTGCCTCTTCTTCATCCTTAGCATCCAATTATCCAGCATTATGGTTTGATCTTGATCCCGTAGCCTGCACAGCAATGCACTATTGTATCTTTACCGGAATCTAGGTTTATTTATATTACAACTACTTCTTCCTAGCGCAAAAATTCTAGATATAAGTAAAAATTCTCTGCACAATCGCTCTCAGAGTGTGACGAATGCATGGTATGCTCATCATAATTGTTGAAATGTAAGTAGCAAGAATCTAAAGTAATTTCCAAAATGGGCTGCTTACTTTTTAGAAGAAACTTCTCGCCCACCACATTTTATTTTGTTGCTAATAAGTAAACTATTTTAATCCATCGTCTGAAATTCGTGGCCATTGATATGCACCCAAAATGTAATATTCGGAATTTGACCATTAACGAAATGGGAGTGTGGGACTTCGTTCAATTTCTAAGCAAGGACAAAAATTTTGTGTAACCTAAAAATTGAATTGGCTCGTCGAAGAACCGAATTTAATTATTTTTTATATCCGTAACGTAGAAATCGCACTCCTTTCAGCCGGTGCTGCAGGTTGTTTTTCTGGAGCGTTTTATTTGCGAGTGCCGCGCTTGCACCTTCGAATATCGGGTTACGGGCTCACTAATCCTGCTGTTGGGCGGGGCATTGAGCTGTTACGGGGAGGGTGGGGAGTAGGGGGAGAGACGAGTGGAGGGAGAGACGAGTAGGGATGTAAGGGGGTACAATAGAGCCCTATAAGAATGTGGGTTCATAAAGAAAGGCTTAATGCGGCTGGCCTAAAGGCACGTCCACACCTCGGCTCAGGTTACCTCGCCTTAAACGACGTTGAGGAACTCGAGGATCAAACGCCCGCCTGATATTTGCTCTTGATATTGAGCAGGAGGAGGCGGATGGATTAATGAGGATCTGGCCCCACAAGATTCTTGTCTAATTTAATGAGACTGCGAACTGAATCAATCAATTTACTATAGGCAATGAAATATTAAGCGGCTGAGTGTTCTGGTTCTTTGTATGAGCATTTTATTTATACCCGCAATTTATACTTTCATTATCATGATTTATACATAAGATATAACTGTTTTGGTTGATCTAGCTTGAGTGAAGAACATTTTACGAAATATTTTAATGGTTCGTAATTTTCTCGTATTTATGGTTAAGAAGATACGGGTGGCAGATTCCACTCATGTTGGATGTACAAAGATTATTTATAATCACCAGCATAATATCGCCAGCCAACGGTTTCCTAATTATTCGGTACACTTGCATGATGTCCTTCGGAAGTGTTTCGGACGTAGAAGTCCTTGACACCCCTGAAGCGCTGCTGTGTCAGGCCGTCCTCGATCCTAAGGTCCCGAGGGGCACTGGAACATAACTGCTCATCTGCCCTCAGTTGTGCAGGCTTAAGCCCTCGGCTGTGCTGCTGATGCCCCCTGTTAGGCTGACTGATGTCCTCAGTTGTGCTAGCTGATGCCCTCAGTTAAACCAACTGATCGTCTCAACCTGCTTTAAGATTATTTTCGTAATAAAGTGACTTAATTTCTTTGTGGTCTAACTTTTCTCACACAGTGAGATCAAAGCATCTAAATAGGTTTATATGAGGAGATAGGCTGTAATCCAATACTACACTGTAATATCCCTTATTTTAACACACTCAGCATAATGAATGGGTCATATTATCAAATAGTGACACTATTAGCCGAGCCAAACTGGGTCAGGATGACCCACAAAAAGGCAAAAAGTGCATCGATATTTGAAGAATGTTACTTTAATTTCCATGAGTGCAACTTGACACTTGACAGTGACGTGCTTGACAGTCACGGTGAACAAGTGTCTTAATTGTTGCCTTGTCACAGATTTCTGAATATTTCAATGCAGTCTACAGTTGTTTTTAAAACACACTGTAATATTAAACCGTTTCACATTTGCGTGCTTGACTGTCACAGTGAACAAGTGCGTTGCCTGCAACTATTTATATGCGTTCTAACCTTAATTGCAGATTTTACTGCAGTGTACAGTTTTAGTACACATTGTAATGTTAACACATTCTACAGTTGCGTGCTCGACGGTGACGGTGAACAAATGTTTTACATGCAACTATTTATATGCGTTCTAACCTTAATTGAACATTTTACTGCACTGTACAGTCAAGTTTTATACACATTGTAATGTTAACGCATTTGACACCTTAATTGAACATTTTACTGCAGTGCACAGTTTTAATACACATTGTAATGTTAACACATTCAACAGTTGCGTGCTCGACGGTGACGGTGAACAAATGTTTTACATGCAACTATTTATATGCGTTCTAACCTTAATTGAACATTTTACTGCACTGTACAGTCAAGTTTTATACACATTGTAATGTTGACACATTCGACAGTTGCGTGCTCGACGGTGACGGTGAACAAATGCCTGGCAGCGCTGCGGACGCTCCAAGGCTTCCCTTACTTCCAGCCAACATGTCTATGCCGCGAGCCTCACATCGACAGAGAGTGCAACACCTTCCACGAGTTCATCTTCGACCATCCCTGCTCCTTCGTCCAGAAGAATGGTGAGCTAGCAAGAATGGTGAGCTGAAAAGAATGGTGAGCTAAAAAGAATAGTGAGTTAAAAGGAATGGCGAGCTAAAAAGAATGGTGAGCTTTAAAATCACTTGTTTGCTTGAATCGCAAGTTAAGCAGGAATTTAAAAGCAAAGACAATACCACAAAATTCACCATATCTTTATAAGAGAAAGCGTTTCGGAGTCCTGCTCCATCGTCAGTTCATAACACAAAATTCGGTTCAGAAAAAGTTCAGTCCTAGAAACACAAATAAATCAATTAGTTAAGTAAAATGCACTCTCAGGTTTCAAAACGGAAAATAAATACGACATGAGACTAAGGCTAGTAATTGGCTTATCTATTTACTATTTCAAGAGGAAAGGAGGCTAAAAGCGGCATTCAGACTAGGCTTCTGTTTGAATATATACAGGGATCCTAAAATTCGTATATCACTAACACCGGATGCGGAAGCTAGAATTTTGAAATCACTATCAGATACACAGAGGTGTTGCTGATTGGTGAATTAAAAGGAATGGTGAGGTAAAGAGGTTAAAAAAAGAGGTTAAAAGCTGAAAAGATTGGTGAATTAAAAGTAATGGTGAGGTAAAGAGAATGGTGAGCTGAAAAGATTGGTGAATTAAAAGGAATGGTGAGGTAAAAAGAATGGTGAGCTGAAAAGAATAGTGAGCTAAAAAGAATGATGAGCTCCATTACCGTCATTATATTCCGCTACGCTATGTAATGTTAAAAATTAGCATCTCTACCTCTATGCTACCATTATTTACAATATCATACTTGTTATCATACTAATTTATGTTGCATTGAAAAGTTGACCGCCGTTTAGGTAATGGAATTTGCGTCACGCGTTCAATGCGCGCGGTACGGACCGTATATACGCGCGCCTAGCGCAACTCNTAATTTATGTTGCATTGAAAAGTTGACCGCCGTTTAGGTAATGGAATTTGCGTCACGCGTTCAATGCGCGCGGTACGGACCGTATATCTACGCGCGCCTAACGCAACTCCCCGCCGCTGCGAGACCTCTTTGCGTATTTAGCGTTTACGCTCAAATTGCGCAATTATGCGAACTACTTTCAGTTCTAGAGCTGGACAAAAAGTAGCAATTCAGTCCTTAATTATCTATGTAATTAAATCATTTTGTACAATTTATAGATTCATTGGTGTGATTTAAGTTAGTTATTTTAAACTTGAACTCTGAAAATATATGTTACGATGTTTCTCCGACCACTTTTTAGTTTGTAGCATGTTTCAAATCCATGCGTTGTAAACATGGTCTTGTGAAATTTCAACTTAATTTCATATTTCGATGCATGAGTTAAATAAAAAAGTATTGACTGAATTCTGAACATTTTCTCCCACAAAGTTCTCCCACAAAAAATGCTTGAGATTTCCATGCCGAGTTTCAACACAAACTAACTTGTGTTCAGCTGACGCGTGAAGTTGGCATTTATTTTGCATAAAATAAACAAATCCAAAAAACGAGACGCAAAATGAGCATTCATAGACGAGCACCGCCAGTTGCGACAAACGTTTTGTCGCATATTAAACGTTTTGTCGTATATTAAATGTTTTGTCTACGGACGACAATTTACGACTGTCATCGCCGACATTTCATGTACCCGCAGACAAATGCTAACTCCTCGTGGACCGACTGTCACCCTATACTCGCCTGGCTCCCCATAAACATTGCATTTTCAAAGGCTAATAAACCCATACACACTGCATTAATATCTTTCAAATAACCATCCACATACCCGCAACCCCTCCTTTTCACAACCCTCTCCCTAACACCCCCGGCAAGGTTAAGGCATAGATATGTTCGTGACGCTGGCATGTATAGTAAGTTGATTATACATTGAGAAAATCTGAGCAAAACACATTCATGTATTTTAATTTATTGCACCATTGGGGCTACATCTTCTTTAACTGATTTTGTGAGTGACATGAGTTTGTCAATTGCTGAGTCATCGAATATTTACGTGCAGCTGGCGCGTCACCGTATTGGGGCTACATCTTCTTTAACTGATTTTGTGAGTGACATGAGTTTGTCACATGCTGAGTCATCGAATATTTACGTGCAGCTGGCGCGTCACCGTACGCAGTGCACGCGCTGCCTACGTGCGAGTACGCGCTACGTGCGTGCGAGAGCCTGCCGGGCTGCATAGCTCTGCACACTAACTTCCGTGACGCCTGCATGGCTGATGGCGGCGTCTGCAGGATGACTAGCAGGTGCGCTCTGCATTTTCTGGACCTGTTTATATATTAATATAATGTAATGATAAGTTAAATAATATGACATGATATAACATAATGTAATTGAATATAATTTAATATGTTATAGACGCCTGCATGGGAGACGGCGGCGTCTGCAGGATGACACGCAGGTGGTCCCAGCATTTCTTGGATCTGTTTATGTATTAATATTATATAATATAATATTAAGTTACATTATATGACATAATAAAACAATATAATATAATATAATATAATATAATATAATTGAATATAATATAATATACCTAATATATTATAATATTGTCGTAACTACCTAACTGATAAGTATATTTTAGTAAATATTGAATATATTCTTCATTGAAGTTTGTGTGTGTTTGTTGTACGCCTGGCACTATAAAACTATTGAGGCTGTTGGATCCAGGATACTTATCGTGTCTGCATGTCGCCTCGGCCTGAATATTTATTCTCAATTGGAGAATGGAAAAGCTTTGCTATCTGGGAGGAAAGGATCAAAGCAAAAATGCAAAATTTTTTCTAAAGTTTAAAAAGTCTAAAACTTGGGGAGTGATCAAGCCCGGGCAACGTCGGACCAACCCACAACTCTGCCACATTTTCTAACATTTGACCTGACTGAATACATTTATTATTTGATAGTCTGAATCATAAATTTCGAATATCGGTATCGGTCGGCTTGGTTTTTTGAATTTTTGAATGACATACATTTCCTATTAGAAGTGTCAAAAGCTTTCCTGTGCCAATTTATTTTAGGTTTTCGATCAAAGAACGCCGTATGAACTTACTGACTGAATTTTTCCTGTCTTCCATCTGGATCCAAAGTGTGTTTGAAAGCTGAAAAATAATTCTCAACCTCCATTGCATAAGTTTATCGAATCACATAATCCTAACTATCTTTTTATTTCAATAAAATAAACATGATACCAAGATATTTACAGATAGAACAGTGCACAATAGGTACATAAATGTTACTCAATACAGTTAATGTTAAATGAAAATGTTACTGCCATACAGCCAGCAGTGCCTCGCAGCTTGGATCAAGCTCAAGATGTCACCGATGTTTGGCTGCATTTGCCCCAACGATAATCAAAAGCAAGAATGCACGCGCATATTCGAAGTGGTTCACCAGAACCCGTGTGTGGGTAAGTACGGCGCTCGTCTTGTGCACACGTCGTCGGTCCACACGTCGTTGGTCCACACGTTGCTGGTCCACACGTCGTTGATCCACACGTCGTTGGTTCACACCTCGCTGGTCCACACGTCGCTGGTCCACACGTCGTTGGTTCACACTTCGCTTGTCCACACGTCGTTGGTTCACACTTCGCTTGTCCACACGTCGTTGGTTCACACGTCGTTGGTTCACACGTCGTTGATCCACACGTCGTTAGTTCACGCGTCGTTGGTCCACACGTCACTGGTCCACACGTCGTCGGTCCACACGTCGTTGGTCCACACGTTGTTAGTCCACACGTCGTTGGTTCACACTTCGCTTGTCCACACGTCGTTGGTCCACACGTCGTTGGTCCACACATCGTTGGTCCACACGTCGTTGGTCCACACGTTGTTAGTCCACACGTCGTTGGTCCACGTATAGCTCGTGTCGTCAGCCTCAATCAACACGCAAAATACTTCGGCAGTTTCGGGTCTCAGAAATTCTCGAACAAGTTTAGTTTTCGAGCGATTTTGTGCACATGAATGGAATTTATTTTCGAGCGCATAACTTTATCTCTATAGTTTATAGTTTTTTCTCTGTCTTTCCGAAGATTTTGTGTCTCTACTTGTATATTTTTATCTGAGTCTTGAAAGTTTCAAAATCTCTGTAGATTTGAGCTCATTTTTTCATCGTAAAGTTTGTAATGGCGTGTAAATTATATTATACATTTTACACAAATGTTTTGTATTCTGTGTGTTTGTGTTTGTTTAATGTAAATATAGACTGGATAATACTAGCGGCGACCTGTGATTTTGGGACTTTACTGATTAAACTTCTAATTCATTATAAATATAGTTAATTTAATAGTCTACTCTATTTAATTATGAATCTAAAATACTTCTCGATTTGATTCTAATTCTATAGATGTCAAATAAATTCTTTAATTAACTCACACTTGTCAACTACCAAAGGAAATCTAACTAACTTGGCAAAATCTAGAGAAGTTCTTAGTAATATTCTATACTTCGTACATCTTACTTCTTATACTGAAGAAATAAAAATACAAAGCTTCTTCACTTTCTATACTGATAGTACGTAAGCTCGTTACCTGAACTTAAGACATTTTTGAATCTATTTAATCTAATTCTATTCAATGATATCATCAAAAGTCTTGCGTATATTTCATTCTCAAGCAAACGGTCTGGAACAGATTTAAGTTTCCTCGATGCCCATAGAAGTGATGGTTCGATAATTTATGTGTTAGTTATTTTACATTGTACCTATTCTTACTTATAGTTGTAATAATTTGAGTTGTACAGAATTTTGACTAAAACAATTCTGAGCCATTGTTAGTGTTGTACTTGGTTTTTTCTGCATTCTTGCACCTCGTTCTCTTTCCATGCACTTATTATGTGGAGTTTCTGGCTACTGTAATGTGAAAGCATTTGTTTGTAGGCTTCCTGTACTAGCCATTTGTGTCTTGACTGAAGGAACTGCACTAGCCATTTGTGTCTTGACTGAAGGAACTGTACCAGCCATTTGTGTCTTGACTGAAGGGACTGCACTAGCCATTTGTGTCTTGACTGAAGGAAGTGCACTAGCCATTTGTGTCTTGACTGAAGGGACTGTACTAGCTAAATACTTTTCATCAAGAATCTCTCTGATCATACGCTTCGCTCAACAAGTTTTTTGCTCATCAACAATTTCATTTTTCAAGTATTTTACTATTTAATAATCTAAAAAATATAAAAGATCTCACTGATCAAACATGTTACTCATCAAAGATCTTACTCATCAAAGATCTTACTAATCAAAGATCTTACTCATCAAAGATCTAACTCATCAAAGATCTTACTAATCAAAGATCTTGCTCATCAAAGATCTTACTCATTAAATCTCTTACTCATTAAAGATCTTACTCATTAAAGATCTCCTCATGAAAGATCTTCTCATTAAAGATCACTGCGATAGAGAAGCTGTGGCATGATCTTTTGCAAAATTCCAATAACTCATTAAAGATCACTGCGATAGAGAAGCTGTGGCATGATCTTTTGCAAAATTCCAATAATATGACTAGAAAAAATCCCAGCCAGTTGCCTCTAAGTGTTTCATAAACATCAGTACCTACGCACCAATCATATATGTGAATTTATGCAAGAACTACGTGCGAACTACAACTATATATTGTATTCTTTTATTTTTTCGTAAAGTACTTGTCTCGCCTTTTCTCTCTTGAGTCTTTTTCTTGCCACGTACTCAAGAAACTTTATTTCTACTAAGAGTTTGTTTTGACTTGTGCTAGCCTGGCTTTCTCTTCGATTCATTACAGATGAGTTGCCTGTCTTCAATGCACCTAACCTTATAGTGGTCACTGGCACCGATTCTCTGGGGGACGACACCTTCTGGAGTGTCATGTTCCCACCCAATCCCCCAACCTCACGGCCGCGACCACATGTGCACCATCACACTGCACCACACCACCTCTCTGCACCACTTCCCCCTGCACTGCCTCCTCACCGCTATAGCAATAGAATGGTACCAAGTAACGTCAATGGTAACGCTGCTCCCTACTATCCGCCCTACCTTCCTCCCTCTGTGCATGTGGTAACACCTGAGCCTTTAACGCCTCCTCCGTCTCTCGTGTACTCTGCACAAACTCACAATGTGCTCTCTGTAGCTCTGCCGAGCTCGTCAACCGTCGAGGATAACCCGCTTTGGTCATTTCCAGTCAACGTTTTACCGCGCGATAACAACTCCGCCTCCTTGCGGAGGATGGACGGTGGTTCTCTTATGAACCCCCTCATCGCCCCACCGTACTCTGCCAACCCCAGTGGGGGTGGTGGCATACTCACAAGTGGCAGGCCCCTGGGAACAAGTGTCAACGCCTTGTCCCCAGTGGCAGGGGATAACTCCCGCGCTGCCTCTGTACTCGGCAATTGGTTTACCAAAACCAACCAAGTTCCTGGCCTGCCGGCGGGATCAGCATCTGCCGCAGCCTCCGTCGCAGGGGACGTTGAGCACAGTATGTATTTCCCCTCGTTTATGCGCCCTTAATTACATGCTGGATGAATTCAGTGCTTAATTTTTAGCTAATTCAATGTTGCTTCAGTTACTGTAACTAGCTTTTAAGGCGCAATGAAATGCTTCGTAGGTGCGCTCTCTCATCGGCTTAACTAAAATGAACTAATATTGAGCAGCACTTAGTATGACGCTGCACAGCGTTACAGCGTTATGTTTCTGCTTATACTTGGATCACGCTTCACAAAGAACGCTTCTCGCTTCTGCTTATTCAAGAAACGAAGACATACCGGACACCGTTAAATTGCACGGTCTCTCCTCCACGTCTCTTGTGTTGCCTTCATCTCGCATCGCGCCGATGCCTCTTCTCCACCAGCTCTCTTCCATCTTATTCGATTTTCAATCAATTGGCTTATCATACACAACACAGCGTTACGATTCTATTCCTTGCGTTCCTCTGACATACCTTATCCTAAATTTAATTCGATCCTGCACTGAAGCATGAGTGATGGTCCTCATTCTTTATTTCTTGGTACAAATGAAATCAATCGCACCTACTTCTATACCTTTTCGCACTTTATCTTCTATATATATTCGCACCTTATCATCATCACGATGTTGCCACCAAAATTGTGCAAAGTTTTGTCTAAAATCTCCATTATTTGCACGTAATTATTTTTGCATATTTTTTCACATTGCCAATCCGTTTTTCAGCATATAGCGTAGCTGTAAGTAATTATACTATCAACAATATTATACGTATAACTAGAAAAATGTATTATTTTTATCGCATTATAGCTAACAATGTTGTATTTCAGCCACGGTGAGTTTCAATGATTCTTGAAGCAAATCCCTTCAATGATGCATCGCTAATTGTGAATACGCTCTGTAATGTCAATACTGCTGAATAATACGGCTGGGCTTACACCACACTGCCTGGCACATTCCAGGCGCATATGCCAGTCGCGGTACTGTCCAATACTTCTATGGGAATGCACTAAAGAATATTGGACTGGTCCGTGACTGGCACGTGCCAGGCTGTATGGTGTGAACCCGGCCTATAAGGAAAAGTTTTACCGTCTCCACGCAATATCTATTTACGCTATTCACCCCAAAAAATATGTATTGCAAACAACGCTGTCCATGTGCTCGATAAAGCAGAGTTACTGCCTTCAGTCAAACCCCGCCTTGTGATGCGAATTCTTTTACAATTGTTAGCAGATTGATTTCCTCCCTTCACTAATCTCTTCAATGAGGAGGAAGCGCGGATTAATGTCTGTATTGTGCATACTAATTGGAATTTGGAATGCCGCCATCTCTGCTGTCATCACTGACTGGTTGTTTTCAGTGTCATTTCTATACACGAGTCTGCCCTGCTAACCAACGCTCGAATGGAATGGAGCTGTTTGCGAACTCTTTCTATGAGTCTGTCCTGTTAACCAACGTTCAAATGAATTGTTTAGCGTTCTCTATACACGCATCTGCCCTGTTCACAAACGCTCCAATGCAGCTGTTTGGGTTCACTTTACACGAGTCTGCCCTGTTCGCCAACGATAAAATGTAGCTGTTGACGTTCTCTATACACGAGGTTGCCCTGTTTACCAACGCTCGAATGTAGTTGTTTGCGTTCTCTATGCATATTTAATAAAGAACTTTTAAGGACAACTACTTCGGAACATGTTCACTGCGGAAAATATTCAAGTTCAGTAACAGCTAATTGCTTAGCATTTTCAATTTTGTCTTCAGAAGAGCAAGGCGATTCGTGTTTTGAGAACTGACATCCGACCATTCCGCGTTTCAATTAGTGCGCAATCCGCCATGATTAAACCTACACGCTTTCACAAGTCATTAATTGTAATGAGACGCACTCGAGAAGGATCAAGTGAAGGCGCCTACTTGAAACTACCAGGCTTGTTTGGTTCTCAAGCGTACACCTGAATTGGCGGCATGGTAGTACCATCGTTGTGACGTACACTGCACTACCAGGCTTAATTGTACCAAAGTTAAGATAAGATAGATAAGGCGCTCAAAATAATGCGGAAATTATGACTTCTTGAAACGACTTGGCCCGAATCTTTGTTTAGAATAACGCTCTAAAGACCCCTCTGGGAAAATGAATAACATATACTCAACGAAGACTCCGTCTATATCGTTAATGAAGACTCCTTTTGTCACCTTTCTGAAGACATTTAATCGAGATCCGTCATTTGTAATAATGGTAACGACGCTGCAAAAANCTCCTTTTGTCACCTGTCTGAAGACTTTTAATCGAGATCCGTCATTTGTAATAATGGTAACGACGCTGCAAAAAAAAACCTTACGCGACGTTAGAAATAATGAGGCAATACTCGTGGCCCATAGAGACCGAAATACTCGGCTCGGAATTCAATAGAAAATACTCCCAAATAAGAAACGTGCTCTTAAAGAAAGTAAGAGCGTAGCTCTGTCAAGAGAAAGCAAGACACGGGGCTTTGTCTGGAGAAAGTAACACACGCGACATTGTGTGGAGAAAGTAACACACGCGACTTTTTCTGAAGAAAGTAACACACGCGAATTTGTCTGGAAAAAATAATACATGCGACTTTGTCTGAAGAAAGTAACACACGCGACTTTGTCTGGAGAAAGTAACACATGTGACTGGCAGAAGAAAGTAACACCCGTGAATCTGGCAGGTGAAAGTAACGCATGTGACTCTGGCGGGAGAAAGTAACACTCGTGGCTCTGACAGGATAAAGTAACACTCGTGGCTCTGGCAGGAGAAAGTAACTCTCGTGGCTCTGGCAGGAGAAAGTAACTCTCGTGACTCTGGCAGGAGAAAGTAACACTCGTGGCTCTGGCAGGTAAAAGTAACACTCGGGGCTCTGGCAGGAGAAAGTAACACTCGTGACTCTGGCAGGAGAAAGTAACACTCGTGGCTCTGGCAGGAGAAAGTAACACTCGTGACTCTGGCAGGAGAAAGTATTAACACTCGTGGCTCTGACAGGAGAAAGTAATTCTCGTGGCTCTGACAGGAGAAAGTAACTCTCGTGACTCTGGCAGGAGAAAGTAACACTCGTGGCTCTGGCAGGAGAAAGTAACACTCGTGGCTCTGGCAGGTTTGTCCGCCAGTCGCCGCGACCCTGCGGTGCTGATGCACAAGACCTGCCAGACGTCGCTGGTCGAGTGTCTGGCGGACCGCAAGTGCAAGCGGCTGATGGACGGCGTGCTGGCCACCTGCGACGCCACTCAGTGCAGTCAGGCCGCCTGCATGGACAACCTCCAAAAGTTCTACCGAAACGTCGACACCAAGTGGGCCATGGACGTCGCCTTCTGCCTCTGCAAGTCAGTTCCGTGCGGGATGCTAGTGCTGGTGGCAGATGTACGAGAGTGTGGTGTATGCGCGAGAGTGTTCGGAGCGAATGTACGAAAGTGTTTGGTGACGGATGTACGAGAGTGTTGTGGCGGATATATGAGAGTGTTTGTGTTGAATGAACGAGTGTTTTTAGCTGATGTATGTGAGTTTAGCGGATGTACGAGAGTGTTCGGAGCGGATGTACGAAAGTGTTTGGTGACGGATGTACGAGAGTGTTTGTGTCGGAAGTATAGAGTGCTTGGTGGCGGATGTACGAGAGTATTGTGGCGGATATGTGAGTGTTGGTGCCGAATGAACGAATGTTTGTGAATTATGGATGAGAGTGTAGAGGATGTACGGAAGAGTTTGCGGCGGATGCACGAAAGTAAGGCGGATGTTCGAGTGTGGCAGATGTACGAGAATGTGGCGGTCGTGTGGCTCTGGCAGGAGAAAGGAGTGTATGTATGAGAGTGTGACGAATATAGGTAAGGTGTTTAACTCATAATATGAATGATGCTTTCAACTTCATAATAATTTACAAATTTTAATAGTGCTCAGTGGCCAATTGTCAGTACTTAAGATAAAACTTCATCCCAAGATCGTAATTTTGTTATTAATTTCAAAATAATTTTATGCCATAGAGAGAAATTTTATAACTAAGGTAGTAATTTTATGCTTATGACAAAATTATTTCATACCTACGAGAGCACTTCGAATTAAATTCACAGGCTCATATGAGACCAAGTAACGAGACCAGTAGAGTACAACTTCTTTAAATTATACGTAGTCATTGGATTAGTCTTTAGAATCAACCAATACAACTACCGTATAGGTAGTTAACACCTTCAGCCGCGCAGATGCGTGCCATTTTCTAACTGGCTAGTCAATATTCCAATTCTCTATTGAGTTGCGACGAGCTAATGGCCACACGTACAATTCCTTCAACCATTTGTTAACTGTCTTTAACTCTGGCTACCCTCGGGAACCAAAGCATCAAAACTCGCTTATTAGCACGTAATGGCCTTAGTACACGTAACGGCCTATAAGTACACGTAGCGAAAAATTTCTGGTCTGCGATTGGTTGGTCTAGCGTGAGCAACAGTCTGTAATTGGATGATGAAGTTAAGAACACGTACCTACTGTGATAGTATGTATGGTCCTAGAATTTAAGATACGAATAACATTAACGTTGAGAAGGGATCTATTTAGAAAAAAAAGATGAATAGATAATCGTTAGAATTCACGCATATGAATTCAGCTCTGAAGACAACACACATATACCTGCAGACGCAGCAGCCAGACTGCAGACGCGTGCCTTGCAGCGCAGGAACAGTTGCACCCAACCTGCGCTCGCAAGCCTGCAGGCCGCGTGCCGCTGCTCTGCCACCGTCTTGCTGCCTCCTGCAAGCAGGATGCCAGCTGCAGGTGCCAGTATATTACACTTCAATCTTTCGTATTAACATACATAACTTAGTGATGTCGGCGCTGAAGTGTAGGCCTGATGTGGCCTGTCGCCGATTCTTTTACTTCTCGTGACTTGTTCATAGAAGATCTAAAATCGTGTCATTTGACCGGATCTTTTCATGACTGGCGATAGTTTGAAATAACCTTTTTGCCCATGCAATCTTCAACTGTAATCTTTATTGTTCAAGTTTTGTCTCTGCAGTCTTCAACCTGTTCAGGTAAGCCGACGGCACACATCTGGTAGTGAAACACAATTGGTAAGATAGCACGTATACTGATAACAGAGAGATGTGGAGGACTAAGTCTGATGGCGATAAAATAAATACTGACGCGACGTGTTGATATCCTGTACATTAGTTTCCGTAGGCAAGTTAAGGTTCTGATGAGAGTTGTGAACATCAACACTACAAGCAACCAAATCTTCATTGTTGAATTTTTTAATTTTTGTAAAGCTGCAATTTCTTCTTCAACATTTAGAGTGGTTTTTGTTTAAATTTTGTTTTTTGAGTCTGTAGGATATAATATCAGTCCCTTACTGACATTTATTTGACGTTTTGACTGATTATTTGATGTTTCGATTTTACAGTATCTCGTTGTTACGGAGGTTTCTTATCATTTTTATTTGCGCCAAATATCTTCCTTGTGCCAGGCTAGTTTAAATTCCTCTGTTCCATGCAGTCCCGTCATACTGACATGCTGGCCTCAATGTCAAACCTTTCGTTACTAAAATGATTTGCGTCCATATGAGAATAGCAATTGATCGTCTTACGCTGCATTGTTTGTTTCCACTCATAACGTTTATTTGGACAAGTTCCCAGTAACTTATTCCTTCTTACTTCCCAGACGACACTCGAAATGGACTTTCCAGCCATTTATTTCCGCAGACATCGGTTCGATTTTTTTTGTCCTTAACTCAACCCAGACATCGGCTCGTGTCAGCTTCTTCCTATCCTAGACGTCGCTTTGAAAGGCTCTTTTCAATCGTTTTCTACAGATCTAGGCTCCATTTCTATAAAGGAAGCCATAACTTATTCATGTCTTCTACTCGGAGTTGCCTACCACCGTGCAACCCTGACCCTAGCCTACCACCGTGCAACACTGACCCTAGCCTACCACCTTGCAACCCCGACCCCAGCCTGCCACTCTGCAACCCCGACCCCAGTCTATCACCGTGCAACCCTGACCCCAGCCTACCACCGTGTAACCCTAACACAAGCCTACCACCGTGCAACCCTAACCCAAGCCTACCACCGTGCAACCCTAACCCAAGCCTACCACCATGCAACCCTGACCCTACCCTACTTCCCGGTGTTGCAGTGGAGTCCCAGACAGACTACCACCGCGTGATGCTCAAGTCGCTGGCTCCTGACGTGGAGCTCACCACTAACCCTGACCCCAGCCTACCACCATACAACCCTAACCCTACCCTACTTCCCTGTGTTGCAGTGGAGTCCCAGACAGACTACCACCGCGTGATGCTCAAGTCGCTGGCTCCTGACGTGGAGCTCACCACCTCCCCCAGCATCGTGTACTCACCGCGTCTCACCACTGAGATCTTGAGTGAACCTGTCCACCAGAGCGGTGGTTCCTCTCAGCAAGCGCGACAAGGTGGTGGTGGTTCTGTGGTGGACGACACCGAGAATACCTGGCTACCACCACCTACTCTGCCGCCTACCACGACCACCACCAGGAAACCTACCACCACTACCCTACCACCAAGTGAGATATCTTTCTCTCCTAAATTATTATTTATATCTTATTATTATCACGGTCGTTCCAGGTGTGCTACAGTTGAGCAAAATAGAACTTTTCGAATTCGAATATCTAACGTTTAACTAGCAGGATCTCGCGTAGTGAGACAGCAAATAATTGTTACGTGAAATAAATTACTTTGTTCATTGCTTGAATTGACTTCAAGCTCTAACAACGTTGTCCAAGTGACGTTACACTTCAGCCACTCTGAAGCCAGTACAACTTTTGTTCTCTTCGCCGTGCCTGCACTTATTTGCTTTACCTTTCTGTCTCCAGTGAATTTGTTTTTTTTTCTTGACAAGGATTATGACATCACAAGGATTATGATATTTTGACGTGGATTAAAGATATCACGCATGGTAACCTTATGTTTATGTAATCAGATTACTGCGAGAAACATTACCCTAGTCGCAACCGAGCTGACCACATCGTGGAGGGAGGAGGCAAGCGCTTCTACACGGTCTCAGACCCCAGCTGCTCCGAGTTGTGCTTGTGTCACACGGGCAAGCAGCTCGTGTGCAATGTCCTGCAATGCGTCGAGGCTCGACCGTGTGAGACTAAAGTCGCCATTTACATCCACGCCGCCCCCGCCTTCATGGCCTACAGGGGCGAGTGTCTCTGCTACTCCGGCAACTTTATCTGCGTCAGGCCTGAGCACAGTGAGTCTCGATCTCGAGTGGCAGTGTTGCAAGTTACAGGTTTTTGTAAACCTTCACTTGGGAGTCAATTTCTTGACAGTCTTCTCTTGGGTCCTATTTTCTCGTAAGTCTTCACGTGAGTATTTTTATCATGACAATATTTTGCTGGGTTTTGACTATTGACTGATGGCAATGAACTTTCCATCGTAACCTACAATCCCGTCAAGACTTTCTTCCTGAGAATTATCCATCTTAACCTCCAATCTCTTCGACACTTTCTTCTTGAGAATTTTCCATCTTAACCTTCAATCTCTTCGACACTTTCTTCTTGAAAATTTTCCATCTTAACCTTCAAACTCTTCGACACTTTCTTCCTGAGAATTTTTCATCTTAACCTCCAATCTCTTCGACACTTTCTTCTTCAGAATTTCCCAGCTTAACCTTCAATCTCTTCGACACTTTCTTCCTGAGAATTTTTATCTTAACCTTCAATCTCTTCGACACTTTCTTCTTGAGAATTTCCCATCTTAACCTCCAATCTCTTCCACACTTTCTTCGTTGAATTCATCCATCTCAATATTCTTCTGGTTGAAGTTCCTGTCTGCTGTGTTTGCAGAAGTCCAGATATTCCGACGGTCTTCCAAAGAAAAAAGAAACACAAAAAGATTTCGCTGTTCTTCTAGAAAATTAGCTGCTCGACTATAGGAACGATTTTCATAACAAATTTACCGAGAACACAATTGTTATTAAAAACCTCAAAATGGCGGATAATTTATTGCTACTGACGTTTTATATTCCATGCAGCTGAACTGAAAGAAGGAGTGAACACAGAAGGTGAATTTCTCAAAGCGTCCCCTTATTTTTTAATATAATTTGCCTTCTCAGGTCTCAGTTCCTAGTGCCTGTTTGTACTATTGATCCCGCCTAATTCATCAAACTAGTTACTCTAGTAATTAGTTCATCTTGTAGTGCTTATATGCTTTCTACTACCGCTAAACTAGAGATCCCCAGCCTCTTTCCCTCTCTTACCAGATCACCCTCAAAATTCATCCTATGATGTCTCATATATCATGTATGTTCACATGGAATAATGAATGGTCCATCTTGTCGAAAAATGAATGGTCCATCTTGTCGAAATAGTAGCGGACTTTCACTACCAACATCACGGGCAAGGAGCTGACGTAGCACCAATAGATCTTTTGCTGGGCCCAACTGAGTTAGGATGATCTACTCGATGGCAAAAGTTGCATTGCCATTCGGACTAAGTTTTGCTCATTTGTACGAGTGTATGATACATTTGCAATGTTCCCGCGTGCGCTGCACGCTACACATTTAGTTACAAAAGTAGCGGCCGTTGCTACACACAATGATAAGTACTGCTATCTAGCCAGCTCGTCGTCTCTACTCGCGCGATGTACGTTCCAGTTGAGAGAAAATTGGGTTAGGTTTATGGAGCTTTAATACTGGACGTCGAAGCCAGTTTTGAAATGCTAATTGTACATAATTGACATTTTTTATTGTTTGCGTACGCCGTAGACAATATTTCGTATCAAATTTGATATTGCGTGCAAAAAATCAATTGAAAATTTCTATTTTATTGTAATTCTGTCGTGATTCAGTCCCTTTAATGTTGAACATTCATTCTAAGATATTTTCCTTCATAGCAAATAGTAATTATTTTCCTGCCTGGGCAACATTCTGTAGAAAACGTGTTTGCTTCTGTAGTGTTGGCTGACTAAACTACCCGTGTTCTCTGACTAAACTACCTCTGTTCTCCGACTAAACTACCCCTGTTCTCCGACTCAACTGCCCGTGTTCTCTGACTAAACTGCCCATGGTTGCTGACTGTACTGCCCGTGTTGCTGACTAAACTGCCCGTGTTTGCTGACTAAACTGCCCGTGTTTGCTGACTAAACTGCCCGTGTTTGCTGACTAAACTGCCCGTGTTTGCTGACTAAACTGTCCGTGTTTGCTGACGGAACTTTTAGTTTTGGCATGCTGACCAAGCTGTGCGATATGTTATTATTTGTTAAACCGAGCCATTTTGCATCGTTCTTTAGATCCCCGGGCCTCCGCAGGCATTGAGGCCCTCATTACGCTAACCGTGTCAGTATTTAATTTACCTATGATGCAATTAAACTGGGAGTTAACGGTATAATAATGAAAGTATGTATTATTGATATTGTGAGCTGATAATAGTGACGGTTACTATTGCAGAGTAACACTAACGATGTGTTTGTTGCCAGCGATGTGCGGCGGCAACTAACTACCGATGAGGTTTTAACAAAAGGGTCTAACTAAATGGTCTAACTATGCTGTTCTAATGATAGGGTTCCAGTTATGGAGTTCTAACGATGGAACCCTAATAATTGGGTTCTAATAATAGGGTCCTAACTAAAGGGTATTAACAGTGGGGCTCTAATGATAGGGTTTTAAGACAGGGTTCTAACGATTAAGTTCTAATGAGGCAGTTCCAGGATGTGGTACTAAAATTTCGGTTTAAAGATGGAAATCTAACTACGGGGTTTTAAAGATGGGGTTCTAATTACGGGTTTTAAAGATGGGGTTCTAATTACGGGGTTTTAAAGATGGGGTTCTAACTACGAGGTTTTGAAGATAGGGTTCTAACTACGGAGTTTTAAAGATAAGGTTCTAACTACGAGGTTTTGAAGATAAGGTTCTAACTACGAGGTTTTGAAGATAGGTTTCTAACTACGGGGTTTAAAGATAAGATTCTTTGAAGATAGGTTTCTAACTACGGGGTTTAAAGATAAGATTCTAACTACGGGGTTTTGAAGATGTGGTTCTAACTACGGGGTTTTGAAGATAAATTTCTAACTACGGGGTACTAACGACGGGGTTGTTTGCAGCGATGTACGACGCTGGGGAGGGAGTGTTCCTGTACGTGGGGTTCAGTCAGGCTGAGGAGGAGCTGCTGAACCCCTACACGCATCTCTCCGTTGTCGACTCCGTGCCCAGGCTGCAGGCGCTGCTGGAGGAGGCAGCCATCGCCGTCAACGAGGTACTGCTGCCTTGTGGTTCATTGGTACTATGCCTTGTGGTTAATTGGTACTGTTGCCTTGTGGTTAATTGGTACTGCTGCCTTGTGGTTAATTGGTACTGTTGCCTTGTGGTTAATTGGTACTGTTGCCTTGTGGTTAATTGGTACTGCTGCCTTGTGGTTAATTGGTAGATAATAGTAAGCATGGCCGTGCTAGCGAAAAAACTAAGACTATTAAATTAAGTAACTCGAAATATGCACTTGTATAAACATTTAGCGTTTTAGAAGACCTTAGAAACTGTCACTTTTAAAAATATTTCTCAAACTTTTTGTGTTTGAAGCCTGGCGCTGCAAATATATAGGGTGGGGGCTGTTGGGGGCCATATCCAGGAAAATTATCGTGTCGGGATATTACCTGGAGGGAAGGTTTTGACCAAAAATTTAAATTTGATTTTAAATTAATTTTTATAAATTTATGTAAGATAACGTAATTTTTCAGATTTTAAAACGATAAATAGATGTGAGTTATATGCTCCATTTAAATTGTGAGTTTTAGCGGTCTTTCCTAAATTATCCTACCTTAATTTCATTTTGAGCAACGGAATTATGAATTAGGGAATTCTAAAATTGCGGGGATTATTTATTATCGAAACCGGACCACGTCTGGCTAACCTGCTAGTTATTAATAATATTGAAGTGTCTAACCTGATCCCAGCAGTCATCTCATTCCTTATTTGTCCAGCAGTCATCCTATTATTTGCACTCCGTTATAACTAACATTATTCAGATAATTCAGTGTGTAGTATGAATTTATTTCCGTTTCAAGCGGCGTATGACAGATGAGGATGTGACCGAGAGCGCACCTGTTGTAAGTAGCGACTTTCTGATTTTTTATATCTTCTTATCATGAAAAAGAAGAAGTTATTCATTTTAACAATAATCCTCAAAAATTTCAGTTAACTATTGTCCTTGTGAGAGAATTTTTCAGACGCGTATAACGTTTGTTTTGTTGGGTAATTGGATGTTTGAGTCTACGGATAATGCACAAATTAGACCATTTTGAAAAATTGGATGTGGAACTTTGTTGAATTTGATGAGAGATATGGTGAGAACTTCGACGAGATAACTTATTTGATAAATTTGAAAGGGAACTGGGGGTTAGTCTAGTTTAATATACTTCTAACATACTCTAGTTGAGAGGTGCAAGTTAGTTTAGTCCTATTATTTAACCATCTATAACACCCTTACATTTAATAAGCCTTCAGAAGGCAGCAAGACGAGCGTGTAACTCTCATGTCTGTGTACACTCTTAAATTTAATAAGCCTTCATAGAGTAGGAAGACGAGGGTGTAACTAAGTAACTCGAGTAAGTAACTGTAACTAAGTCTGTGTTGTTGCAGTCGTACTGCGAGCTGACGCTGCACTTATTATTTAACCGTCCATAACACTATTACTTTTAATAACCATTAAGAAGGCAGGATCAGCATGTAACTCTCATGTCTGTCTTGTCACAGTCGTACTGCGAGCTGACGCTGCAGGAGCAGCTCAGTCAGAACCTGATCTTCAGAGCGACGCTCCCCGCCCTTGACGAGCACAGGGACAACCTCACCGCTGCCATGCTCAACAGGGAGAAGGTCTGTACTTTGTATAATGTCTCAAAACATAATTATCCATCTTTATTTTTAGCCTTCAAATCCTTATTTCAATAAATATTCATTTTCTTACTCTCCTATAGCCCAATCATTCCACGAATGTAAGTAATACAACGGGACTCTATTTGTCGTAGCGGCTATAGAAATGCAGAAAAATTATACGTCGTTATCGAATGCATCTGTCAAAATTTCAAATTAGTGTTCCAAATCTCATCCAATTAATTCAACATTTATAGGCAAAAAACATATGCATGGAAGCCACTTAATTTATAATGAGCTACAATGAATTTAAATAAAAAACAATGATTTCATTACCACACAATAATAACTCATCGTTGAACAATAACTACTCTTCATTGGCCGCTATTTGCATGGTGCAGAACGAGTGCATGGAGAGCCTGAAGATCGTGGCAGAGAAGATCACGGACCAGCACGATGACATCCGCAGCGACATCGTCTTATCCATGTTCCTGCTCGCTGAGGTACACGTGAACGTGCCTCCCGTGCCTGCAGCCTCTGAGGCTCTGCAGGCCTCTCTGCTTCTCACGTCTCTGCTCACATCTCTGCTCACTGCAGTCTCTGCGAGCTGGTCTCTCGGCAGATTATCTCTGCTGGATTTCCCAACCTTGTGATACTCGCTAACCTAGCCTGCGATACGCGCCTAGATTGTAAGGACTGACAAAACCATTAGTTAGCCACTAGTCAACTAGCAGCGCACTAGCTGTCACTTTCATCTAGTAGGACTTTGTATAGCCAACTATTTTTACACATCACCGTGGTAGCCACTCTTGTATGAACTACAACTTCCCGTGACTCGCACGTTGCCGTGTTACTGACCTAATACTCCGTATGAACTACAACTTCCCGTGACTCGCACGTTGCCGTATTCGTAGCAGGTAGTCGACGTTGATGTTAGAACTACTCACCACATCCTCGTCAAAACTTTTCTTAGGCACATCGGTGGCCATCGAATAACTATCGATAATTCTGCAGTACTTTTCGAACGAATTTGAAATCATGAAAATTTGAACCTGTTATGCCTTCTAGTCCCAATCCCCCCAAAGACGTCGATTAACACTGCCCCCAAAGCACGCTGTATTATGCCCATCCAGACCCCCGCACCATACACGGTGGATTTGAATATCTGCAAAGGATTCAGTAGTTAAATGTCTAACGAAGGTAAATATTAACAGAGTCCAAGTGTGGACATTTCCTCACCTGTCACCACAGCCACAAACTGAACCCGTAAAAAAAACATTTTAATATCAATTAAAAACTTGCGTTTCTGTGAAGGCATCAGGTTTACGGGCGTCCGTGGCGGTACGTCTTTGTGACGATATTGACGTACGGAGAACAAAATCTGAATTGATCAGTTAGGACGAGAAACGCCTTCATTTTCGCTGAATGAGTTGAGACACTTGAGATAGCGAGTCATTTTTTGATAACATTTTCAATAACATTTCATACTGAAACGTTGCTTCGAAAATGCTTGAAAGCTTCCCATTAGGAATTTAAAAGCAAAGAAAATACCACAAAAATTCACCATATCTTTATAAGAGAGTTCTCTCTTTATAAGAGTTCTCTTATAAAGATATGGTGAATTTTTGTGGTATTTTCTTTGCTTTTAAATTCCTGGTTAACTTGCGATTCAAGCAAACAAGTGATTTTAATAGCTTCCCATTAGTGTTGAAGAACACGTTCATACACGAGACTTACTCATAAATGCACATAAATAAACGTTAATCGACAAAGAATGAACTTGAACAGAGTGCCTGTTCGTTTTGGCACAGTCTATTCATTATATACTTGACAAAGTGAACTTATATCGGGTAGGCTTCGTGATAAAGCTAAAAGTTTGCCTTCTTCTAGCTCTGTCGTTCAAAATACTGCAAGTCATAATAATGTTTGTAAATAACCGTCTAGACTTAGTGGTATTGACCTGCTTCAGAAATTGTTCCTTTATTTTGTTGATATGTTTATAGTGTTATTGTTGAATTTGTGATCTAGAGTTTCATGAGCCCTATAGCATGTAAATAAGATAAGCAAACTATATTTACTAGCGCTTGCCGAGACCTTAGCCTTGACCTGAAAATATGCAGGTCTCGAGTGCCCCTCACTCACTGTACTCATACCCACTGTACTCATATTTGTCGTACTCATACCCACTGTACTCATACCCAATGTACTGTTGGGTAAACCTGAGCCTTCTGCTGTCAACTTCCATTCTTTTATTAACGATGCCTGCATGCAGATTCCGTTGAAGTTGATACTTATATTAATAATGACATTGCAGTTTATAATATTAATAGTTGCGTTGAAGTTCATTCTTGTATTAATGGTTGCACTGAAGTTCATGCTCATATTAATGGTTACATTGAAGTACTGGACATGTAGACTCGAAGAAACGCTTATCGTTAGAAGCTTGCGGGAGGGAACACGAAAAACAGACTCGTTTGCCACATGACGCCAGTAGATGGCTTTTACAATGATACAGTAACTTTCAGCCAATCGATGCACTCTTGCAATGATACAGTAACTTTCAGCCAGTCAATACACATGCCCAATTCGTTCGGTTTGCACATGCCCAAGTCAGACGAAACTTGCAGGCGTTCAGAATTTGTTAACTTAATTGGATTGGATTAATTAACATTGGAATTATTCCAATGTTAATTTGTTAACATTGGAATAATTTAATTAATAACTTACTAATTGCATAATAAACCTGATGATCGCTGTGTTATAAATTGAAGGAAAAGACACGTGTTATTGATCAACGGTTGACTTTTGAAGATTTTTATCATAAATAAATGGAAAACTAAATAACGTAAGATCAATATGAATTATAGTGTTACCTATCAATGTGCTCAAAATTGCCACAGAATATATTGAATCTCTAGCAGGCAAATGCTATACGTATTTACTTTGTGTATGTGGTTTAGTTTGTATTTTGAACTAATTTCTCAGAAAATAAGCACTTGAACTGAAGCGTCACTCTGGCGCAGACTCTGCACACGAGATTTGCTACGCAGATCTCGCCTTCTTACTGAAGAGTCTCCTTGTTCTTAAAATAGTTCCTTGTTTATTTAAGAACCTCTTTGTCTATTTTATATCCTCTTGATTAAAGAAGACGCTCCCTGTTGAGTACAGAGCCTCCTTGTTCTATCGCTTTTCCTGTTGACGTTTGCACCAAGTTGCTCCGAACGCTTGTTGCCGAATGAAAACATATCCGATCCCATGCCTGACCTTGGTCGCGTGGAACTTAATATCAACAGATGAGTAAATTGTTGTTAAGTTAGCATCAAATTTTTCCCAAGCTTGTGTTTGATCCTATTGATTTGCTTCACTATTCATTTCTTTGAAATTCTATTTCCACTATCAGCCTGATATTGTAAGCGGCCTCGGAGTGATTGCTTTGCTCGGCTTTAAACAGCTTACGTCACATGTTCAGTGCAATCAATAACAAAATAGATTTTAAAAATGTTATTTGCTGTGAATTATACGAGAACTTTTTAGTAATGACTTGAAAGTTAGTCTAATCTTGAATTGTAAACAAAGAGATGCCGATTAAATTAATGCAATATTTTCTTTAGGACCAATAGACATTTCACCCGTTGATTTTATAAACCATGTCGAGATGAAATAAAAGTGTTTCATTTTCGTCTCCCACTAATAAAGAAACGGAAAATGTAATATTTACAACATTTTCTTTCAACATTTTACAGCTCGCATCTATCAACTTCATTGGCGCCAGGTTTCCGCTGGTGGCTATTAGAAATTTTTGAATGGCAGTGCGGACTTGCATTCAATTTATTTTTTATGAATAATTTCAATTATAATTCGGGTAACTCAACTCTCTAAGGCATTTACGATAATTAGATTGTTCAATTGGTATCCGTAATGATGATTTCGAGTAGTAAAAAATAGACCAATCTAACCTACTTGAAATGCAAACGATGAACCTGCCTCCAATGGAGCGGATGTTACATGCTACAATAGTGCTTAATAAATGAGCTGGAGATAATAAAAAGACTACCAAACGAGAACTGAATAAGAAAAATATTTGATTAATTCAAAAATTAGGAATGGGAGCCTGAGTTCCAAAATTTAGAATGAACATAGATGTCACTCAAATTAACAACACTGGGAAAACTTGTTTTCCGGGTTTTAGCCTCAAAATGGGATGAAACAATTTCATACAAACAAAAATTCGAAGTAATTATAACTCAAAGCAGAAATTCCCCACTATATTTAAAGCGAGGCAAAAGAGGAAACGGAAACAACATCACAGCTTTGATCATCTATGGCTCATGATGGCGTGGTGCTGCTTGAGGAAGTTTTGCACCTCAGCATGCATGCCCTGGTACAGTTGCTGGCACCCAAACAGTGCCATATCGAGCACGGCATCAAACTGGCTCTGGTGCAGCGGGTGACACGTGTGCAGTGCCACGATGCGCTGCTTGTTGGGCAACATCGCTACTGTCACCTCGCACCCTCCAGAGCTCTCCGACTGGCAAGCGTCCACCAGGGCACACGTCTGCGGCATCGCGATATGGTTACATTGACACGACATCGTCACATTAACACGACATCGTCACATTGACACGACATCGTCACATTGACACGACATCGTTACATTGACACGATAGTGTTACATTGACATAACATCGTTACATTGACACGACATCGTCACATTGACACGATAGTGTTACATTGTCATCAATACTTTGAAGCTTCACGACATCAATACTTTGAAGCTTCACGACATCAATACTTTGAAGCATCACGACATCAAAACTTTAAAATAACTCTCAATTATACTAGCATTAAATGGCAGCTGTCAGAAGCACCTGCGTGGACGTGTGTGCAGCTGTAGGGACGGCAGAAGCCGTACACGCAGTCACGTAATCATTAACTTCGATGCCTGCATGCAGCAGCGCCAGGCACGCAGCGTTGATGCAGCACGCAGTCACGCCACCATCTGCCTGTATCACCTGCAACACGTCACTGCGTCATCAGCATTCGTTAATTATTTTCATGAATGCTGATGAATCAACCTAATAGAAACCACTCTTCGTCACCAGCATTCATAAGCCCAACAGAATCCGTCCTTCGTCACCAGCATTCATCAACTTAACAGAGGTATATAGTGGTCTTCCCTGATTATAATGAAATCCAAGATTATCTTAGATTTTAACCAAATCAACGTTCTTGGATCAAAATTAATTCTTCGTACTTGTATTATATTCAATACCATGCTCTTAGATTCTTATCAATTCAAGATTCTTTGATAATAAGTAATTCTACCAAATGATTCGTCACTAGCTGCGTGATTTGTTAAAGCTCACGTCTCAGTCCACTGCGCTGCATTATACTAATAAACCGGCATTAGTAATGAGTCGGCATTGGGTTCGTTCATAGCTTATTGACAACTAGAGTAAATAGTTATTCAGAGGCAAACCCGTCAGAATCACACAAATTAAAACTTGATACAAAGTTTTCAAGTGCCAATAAGCATTCACGAAATACGAGCAAAAAATGAGTAACAGTTAATCAATTAATGATCATTTCACTCACTCATCGAAACTAATTGAGGACTTTTACTCATAACGAAATCATAGCAAAAACAATCACTTTATCAGCAAATATGATAGTTTTATTCGTTATACGATAGATATATTCTTTAATATAAGTTGCTTTGGTGTCCAACAAAACCAATATTAAAAGTTTCCGTCAGAATTATTTTCCACCTAAGAAGAAATACCTACTCGAGCGTCGAGGAGCCCATCAAACTTTTTAGCTTATTACTTAATGAAGTTTGAGCAGCTGCTAACACAAGCAAATGAAGCAAATTTAAAAATCATTGATTTGCTACGGTCCTGAGGGCGTACTATCACAAATAGTTACTAGATCGTAAACCCGTCAGGCAATTACTAATTCAAGCTAAACCTACTAATCTTTGGCGAGAAATCGGCCGCTATGCATAGTTTGACCACTAAGTGTACTGAGGCAGCTACGTGTACTGAGGCAGTTACGTGTACTAAGGCAGCTACGTGTACTAAGGCAGCTACGTGTACTGAGGCAGCTAAGTGTACTGAGGCAGCTACGTGTACTAAGGCAGTTACGTGCACTAAGGCAGCTACATGTACTGAGGCAGTTACGTGTACTAAGGCAGCTACGTGTACTAAGGCAGCTAAGTGTACTGAGGCAGCTAAGTGTACTGAGGCAGCTACGTGTACTGAGGCAGCTAAGTGTACTGAGGCAGCTACGTGTACTAAGGCAGTTACGTGCACTAACGCAGCTACATGTACTGAGGCAGTTACGTGCACTAACGCAGCTACATGTACTGAGGCAGTTACGTGTACTAAGGCAGCTACGTACGTGTACTAAGGCAGCTAAGTGTACTGAGGAAGCTACGTGTACTGAGGCAGCTACGTGTACTAAGGCAGCTACGTGCACTAAGGCAGCTACGTGTACCGAGGCAGCTACGTGCACTAAGGCAGCTACGTGTACTAAGGCAGCTACGTGCACTGAGGCAGCTACGTGTACTAAGGCAGATACGTGTACTAAGCCTGCTACGTGTACTAAGCCTGCTACGTGTGCTAAGCCCGCTACAAAGGTCAATACTTGTACTTAAGCAAGTGTTGATATTAGGGGCCCTGTTAACTGACTTGAACAAAAACGTCGATCTGAGAACCAGCGTATTTAGAACCCCTGACGGCGGCCTGGAGTGCGCCGGCGACCAGGTTACTCGTGGCACGCGTCCTCTGGTCTCTGGGTTTCCTGAGGCGCTCAGCTGAGCACGCAGCAACGCGCGATACTGCGCACGTGACCACACACTCGCCCAGACCCGTGGTGGACTTCACTGAACGCGCCTGTTTGCCAATAGAATTGTTTTTCATATATTATAACGTAACACAATTAAATAAACCTTAGCATTTACAAACGGATAAGCTTTACACATGAACACAATTTCAATACATTTTCACAACACCACACGATGCATTCATGAAACAGAACTGAACTTTTAATCCTTTTTAGTTAGACTTCATGAAGCAAGATTGGTCCTATGAAATTAATGAGATCACAGAAATAACGAGCTCACCTAGACAGAAAATTAATTAATGAGTTGGCCATACTAGCACAAACACTGATCAAAATAATTTCGTCAAGAAATGATCCAGAATATTTATTGGAAGAAATATTTTAACATGAATACCTCCTTTGGGCCATAGACTGATGCCAAAACTTGAGTGTTGCCCATCTGCATGAAGGCACTGCCATTAGGTCGGTCATAGAGACCCAGCTTACATTTCATGGCGCGCAGGCATGTTGTTGTGCGGCCATCTTGTCGTAAGCCCTCATTAGACAGAAGCTCCATTACTGTAGATGAAATTAACCTTAAAATTACAAAATGATTTACATCTACATAATAATTTAATAGGTGCATTATTACTAAATTTGTAATTTAGCAGCACAATCTTCAATTATTGTAATAATCAGTTAAAAATTAATTAGAAGGGAATCTAATGGCTTCAAAAAGGGCATAAAATCTCTTGGAATTGATCAAAAAAGCTAGTGTCATCACTGTCATGATTAGAAAGTCATCTATTGCCCAAGTAGGTATGCCAATATGCAAAAACAGCACCTAGGGCAATACCACTACAAAATATCAAAATGATGAACCATTGATAGCAGGCATAGAATTTATCTATTTGATGAGCAGCGACTGGATTTTTCGAGCCATAGTTTCAAGGATTTGCCAGCTGTGATTCTATTTTTTCGAGTCATGAATTCCATATCTATAGGTCCCAAGAGGAATACCTACTAGAATTTGAAACAAGAACCAATAGCAGGGGCCACAACTATAAACTGAAAAAAGTGCATTCCAACTCATCCACACTACAACATTTTGTCTTGCTTTGAATCCCCGACACGTGGAAAACCCAAATACATTATTGACGCACCAGGTATATATGCGTTCAAGAACAGACTGACTAGATAAGGCTATGGGAGAATATATGTTCAGCCTTGAAATGCCTAGCACCATTTCAAACCTGGTGGAATTCTAGCAGCTTTTCAAACTATCATCAGTCTTGAAATGATCTGGTCAAGGAACATGCCTTTGGATCTTTTGCAAACATCACCATGTTATGTTATGCTATCACTGCAAAGAGCCATTTATGAGCAATGAACTTATTTATGGTCCTGTGCATGTGTTACCTCAAATTTTTAATTTTACCCTGAAAACAGTCAAAAGGCAACAATAACATTTGTCTTTACTTTAGTGGCCACTAAACATGTGATAATGCAGTCTGACCACTCTGACGTGACCACAACTATGAGATCTTCAACAAAACCTTTTGGGTTGACTCATTATCATTACGTTTTGCAGGATATTTTTGCAGGGGCATTGAAGTACTGTTTATTGCGGAAGTTGAAAGTTTTACAAAATGACATGTTGGCACCAGGATGTACTGTGTAGAAAATGGGTGAATATTGAAAGATTATTGGCAATGCATCAGCAGCAAAATTTACATCTTCAGAAGATTTTACCACCACATTTGGATTGAAATTATTGCATTTTAGAAATAAATTTGAAATTATTGCAAATCTGGAAGACCGCAGACGCAGCACACACAGTAAGGTTTCTAGTACGTCAGATGGATCAGGATGCAGTGAAGCTTGTCAGGAAATCAGTTCAATTTTCAGTTGCAATGATGCAGTGCGTGGATAGTAAGGCCCTGTAAGGGATATACTATTAAAGTTGTTAGCAGCATTTTCTTATTAAAAATTACCTACATAAAATACATATATTGGCAATGCTTTCTGCACCCTCTGTACCCTGGTGTTGGCAAAGTGCAAACCGCAATTTTTTTATCAAACATAAATACATAACATTAGAGCAGCAAGATTTCTTTCATGCCTACTGAAATTATATGATATCAAAGCCACAATTTTTTTAAAAAAGTATGACTTTTCCTGACTTGATTGATGATAGACAAATTAGGCCTACCTGGCTTAGCTGGCTACCTCTCATCTAAATCTAAAAAAATTAAGATAATAGAGACTTGAGCCATTGTGACATGATTTGATAAGATTCAAATAAAATAAGTATATAAATAAATATTACTAGTGCTTTTAGCATTAATTAGGCCATTAGACGTGTTAGCTTTTGCCAATTCTTAACATTACACCACTATGCAGAGGGTGGATGCAGCGTCGGCAATATATGGATTTTTAAGCCCAAAGCGTTGCCGGACATTTTAAAGATGCGTCGCCGGGTAATTTTTAATGAAAAGCCATTTACGCTGAGTAATGACGAACTATTTACAAGCCACGAACTTATTACAAGGTTGCATGCACGTTGATTTCCGGACAAGCTTTGCTGCATCGTAATCCATCCAACGTACCGGAAACCTTACTTTTTTTCTAAATAGTTGGCTGAAGACTGAGAAATATGTTAAATGCAAGAATTTAAATCTAAATGTGTCGGCAAGATCTTCTGAAGGCAAAAATTTTGCCGATAATGCGTCGCCGTATGTCTTTAAATCTTCGTTCACTCTCTGCACAGTGGACATTACAAAACATTAACAGCTTGTTGCAGAGTCAAACACATTTAAGTCACATAACTTAGTCTTACTGATCCAATTTTACTGTACTTAACTGCCCCAGAGCATTGTGGGATTTGTGGCAAAGGCAAACCAGAGCTTTTTTGGAATCAGTTCATTTTTAATTTCCTCAATAACTCAAGATTTATACCAATTTCTTATGTATGATAATGCAGGTAGCCAGGTATCAAGGATACTCTACTGGTCTACATATAGAACTCAAAAATGAACTTGAAAGAGAGTCTAAAAAACTTTCTGCTTTGCCACTTTGCCACAAGGGCCCAGAGTGCCCCTCCTTGCCAATTCTAACCAGAACTATTGCACAGGCCACAGAGCTGGGAAAGCCAAAAGCCTAGGATTTAAAATTTGAACCCGCACCTCAATATTGAGCCACCAAAATTGATGACTTTTAGAATTTGGAGAAGCATTATTTTATTCAAAATGGTACATCTGATAAAAAATACATTACTGAAATAAGTTACTACTTACTTTGAGTCTTAAGAAACAACTTCTTGTATTTCTTTAGAATCAACAGATCCTTAAATTGGGACAACCGATAGTAACTCGAGCGGTCTACCAAAGTGGGTACCACACCACGCTGCTTTGTTTACAAATGTCAAAACGGATGTTACAACACTGTACGCGACTCCAATGAAACGGAATAAAAAAAACGAAATTTCGAAATAATTTTTATCGTAAATTTTATTGAAATTCTCGATTTAATCTAGAACGCGTTCTTTCATCGAAATTTCTTCATGCCATTTGACCTATTTTGTTTGAAAATGTGATTTAATTTAAATGGAATGTTTCAATCATATTTCATCCTTATATAATAGATACTTATAATGCAAAAAAAATCATTTAGGATAAATAATTCTCTACATTGATATCAATTTTCTGAAAAAAAAACAGTTAGGCCTCCTAAGAGTCCATTATGCTCCCGGAAAAATTACGAGTTCAGCAATTAGGTCTCGGACAAATTTACGGCCGGACTCGCAGCCGGTCTCACAGCCAATATCCAAATTCGGCGACCAAAGAATATCTCTTACACTAATGAATGTAGCTCAATGAAACTTGGTACACGTATTCATCAAGACCTAACGGTGATGGTTAGCTCATGAAATTTTTTTTCAATTCACCTTCATTCCTGTGTTAAAGGACAATTCGGGCCAAAATTTGCAGCGACCAAAAAATTTCTTCTAATCTATTGAACAGATTTGAATGAAAAATGAATATACAGACCTAATCTCCCAACGGTGATGTTTTAGCTCGTGACAATTTTTTCGATTTTGCCTTTGTTTGTGAGTTATACGACGCACTTGCAGAATTGTAGCAGTGAGTTGCGAGTTCGAGACCGCAAAATGCTGTGAATGTTCTGCGATGTTATGAATCGGCGACAGGCCTACGGCCTAATAACGCTGAAACCGCTATTATTATATTATATTATTATTATTCCTGTGTTAAAGGACAATTCGGACCGAAATTTGCAGCGACCAAAAAATTTCTTCTAATCTACTGAACAGATTTGAATGAAAAATTGAATATACAGACCTAATCTCCCAACGGTGATATTTTAGCTCGTGACCATTTTTTCGATTTTGCCTTTGTTTGTGAGTTATACGGGTATACGTATACGGCTTTTTGTCACTGCGAATTTAAAAATATGCCTCACAATTTCTGATCGTTTCTTCGTATAACTGGCCGTATCCGTATAGAGACACCGCTGTGGTCACCATCCCTCATATGCTCCTACAAACACCGCCTGGACAGCACTTACTCGTACCTACATATACGTAGGTGCCTGTACACGATGGATAGTACTAGCCGCTAGTTCATCCGCCGCTTGAACTGTCCACGCTACTAGCCTCGTGTAGCCGCTTCAGAGGCTTGTGCCCAAGACGCGGCCGAGAGGGACAACGATGTGTTGTTTTCTTCGCTGGAGATGGAGAAGCGGCTTGTAGCGCTGATTCAGCCGTGGTGAGCGTATCTGTGCCGCTCTTGTGAAGTGTCTTAGGTCAAGTGAATCATGGCTTGTTTGAACGATAACGGTTCTAAGAAATACCCTACAAAATGGAGTCCAGACGATATTCAATTGTTCTTTGAGATATTCCAAAAATATGAATTAATGTAGAATGCATGCCATGCTGGTTACTTCAACAAAATGAAGAGAGAAACGAGTTTTTTTTTAAACTGAAAGAAGACATTATTAGTCAGGGTTTAGTTGTTATCGACGTTGCATATTTAAGGGCTAGAATAAAGACTTTAAAAACAACGTACAGACTAGAGTTGTTGAAGGTGATCCCACGGCACTATCCATCTTCACAGGCCTCACTCGACGACTTCTAACGACGCGCTGGCGGTCGCGAACGAGAAGATATCGGCACTTTAGACTGTCCTCGTGTGTACAGGCTTACTTGCCGGATAGTCAACAAGCGGCCGACATTTGCCTGATCTACTTGCCGCCTGCACTATTCCCGCGTACAAGCACCTTATGCCCCGATTGTCATAGGTACTCGAGTGTGTCCTCACGGTGTATCCCCACACCGTCAAGCATCCTCTGCTGGAGTGTTTGGTAGCACCCAGGCTCTGGGTCGGCATAACATCAATCGCACAGCTTTGGCCCGAGCCGGCTTGGGTGGCGGCTTCCCTGCGCTGCGTGGGTTTCCTGACGTGACAGGTACCCGTGGAAAACCAACAACTACCTTGGTACTCAGAACTTCAACAACTCAGCCACCCTCCCATAATACGAGTATAAAAAATGTTAGCCACAACATAAAAGAGCCGGAAATGTGTGACCATAATTTTCATCTGATGGAAATACAAGTTCATTCACTCAGTCGTCAAGACGTAGCGTGAGGCTACAATTTTGTCGTGCTGCAAAAAACGTATTAAAAACCGCAGCCTTTTGGCCTATCGTAAATAAATTAGCATTTATATTTAATGCCCATCATACTCAGGAAAAACCCGTAATGAGATTAAGATGAGGTTCATTATTTTTTCTACCGTTATTTCGATATAGAATTTAGTTATAGCCATAAACAGCTTCGTTAATTCTCATATAGAAGCTGAGACGCGCTTCTTTACTTTGATTATCGTGGTCTCGTAGCGACCTCGTTTTTGGTGTGACACTTCAACGACCGCTGACGGATGGTTGCTGGCAGGACAGCAAACTCTCATGAATGGGCAATAAGCAGAAGCTAAAATGTATCGCTGGATACAAGATTTTCCAGCCACGTTGTAATTTCAAAATTTTAAGGGCAGCCATTCTTCGCGAGTTGAACTCCCATTACATTAACCTTAGAAAATAATAATCGAAAAAATTTAAGTAATCATGCAAAACCGTTAGATAATATGGAACAGAATGTAGTTTTCTCACCTGTCTTAGAGCGACAGTGGCATGAGAGCACGAGACACTTGCGTGCCGGCAGCTGTGCGACGGGAGGCGGGAGGATAGGGGTGCACTAGCGTCCTCTGCCTCTCATAGGCGCAGCTGTACCACTCTCTCTTCTAAGGTTCTAAATAACTAAGGTTACTACAGTAATGGAGCGAAAATACTTGGCCACAAATAAATTAATCTGTTTTATTTTTTTTATCATTCACAAACTTCAAGTATTAAGAAAACAAACATAGTTTTATGCTTATATCCGAGCGTGCTTATTACTACTATAAACTCAGTAAGAATAATAGAATATCCTATTTTCATCTATTTGGGTGATCTCTTCTTTTGCAGATCAAAATAATACCCATGTCCTAATATTCAAGAAGATTAAACCCAGATATGAAATGCTGTATTTCGTTAGATGTTGATGGAGTGGTTGGAGAAAATGTCAACATTGGTTGACGTGGCTGCATATCTGTGACTTGTCGGGGTGCAGTGAGGTTGTGTCTGAGTGAGCTGACACTTGCAACCGAGCGTTGCATGTGGGCGGTTGTTTTGTTGGCGGCGTCGTCGTATAATCGTGTTTTTGTTGAAGGTGCTTCCGAAATTCAAACTAGCAGAGGCAGGTCTGTCGCCGATTCTTATTTAAATACCAACAGTTCACATATATCAGAAATTCTATGCAGGGTTGAGACTGTGGACATGATGCGGACTGCGGTGATCATTGAATATAGCGACTATGCCGCTATGTAGGGAAGTTTAGCAGTAGTTCGGGCCTCGGCCCGATGCCCTCCGCTAGTGGAACTCTAATTATTTGTTGGCTATTTAAATTTAAAAAACCTACCAATGTATATATTGAACTTTTGACTCTCTTCCTAGTCCTCATGTGTCAGCTGGATAAGATCCACGTACAAAATATTATTTTATATTTAAGGTGGGTCGCCTGCCGAAGACCACCACTGCCCTAGATGTAATGGACCATCATGATTCCTGCCTTCCGGAACTTAGCCTTCAACACTTCAAGCCGTCCGTATCTAGGCCGTGCGTCGAACCAGCCCTCGGTCGAACGGCCACTTGTCAAAGGACGATAAATTTTGGAACAGAACTATGCTATCTGAAACCTAACCTAAGAACGTAAAATTACGCAATTCAACGATGCCCGGAAGTCAGATTCGATCCGCGGCCTGGTGGTGCGCGGCAGGTTCTATGCGAGGCCGGAGGAAGACAAAGCCGAGTGGTTCACGGCTGATTGGTGGATGTCCGGAGAGATCCAAGGCAGGGCTTATTGTAGATTTTTGACTATTTCCAAAATATTTTCTTTACTGGCTTTACAATCAAAGAACCCCCAGCCCGGCCCTAAACTTGCGTTACCACTGCTTTAAACCTGCGCTGAGTGGAACCGTTAAATCCAACCACTTCGACACGTTTTTCTTCCTCAATTCGTAAGCAATAATTAAATACATAGTTTTAAATACTTATTCAGTTGCGGCGACGATTTTTTTTCTCGAACTTACACATCGCCTTTAGATTCTAATGAATGCAGATGCTAAATTTCATCAAGCTACGTTCATTTAGTTTGGGAGATATTTTATACAATGAATCCTGGAGATTGGCCAGAAGACCAACTGGAATTGTGTACGCGAGGTGCAAGTCGTAATAAAAATTCAAGCTGATTAATCAGTATAATTAAGATCACTAGCAATTACGGAACTTCAAAGTAAAGTAACATTGTTAGAACTTCGGATACTGGATTTAGCTTGGCATGCAAATTTAATTAACATTCTTTGAATGTTAATTGAAATTATCAAATTTTCTTGTGTTTTCATTGTATAAAAAAAACGTAAATTGTTATAAATCTTTTGTGTTGTCCAGTTTAGCGATTAATTTTTGTGTAAAAAAATCGACCTAACAATTCATTATTACCAGATACTAAACATTGTATACAGAATATTTGCGAGACTTTCCAAATGGACAGTGATAATACTATGATATTAAAAGCGTAGTCAAATGAACATTGTATATATATAAAAAAAATAATACTCAGTACTCACTTCAGTGAGTGACAGAGAGCGCATTTTCTCGTCGACGAAAACATGAAATCACGGATGGACAGACAGACGGACGGACGGACAGACAGACGGACATGGCGAGCACAATGGTGCATTTTTTCATAAATGAGAAAATGCGCTAAAAATGCTTAGCCGTTTTCTGATCTCATTTGTAGATGTAAAACAAGCGCATCTAACGCAGAAAACCGCATGTATGGGCATATGGTATGCGTGCACTTACATACATATGTACAAATTTATCGATTCAATCACGCACGATACGGCAAGCACTTTTCTACTGATACGTGTCTGACTATAACTCTGCTGGCGACGTATGTTTTTCATGCGCGTTCCTGTTGATCATGGAAAATTGGTCACCGATGCTTGGAGACGTTGGCGCGGGCAGCTCCACTTCAGTATACTTGAGCTATCTCAGATATGCGTTTGGGTTTGGGCTATCTCAGACCACTAGCGTCTGCATGTCCAAGGTCTCATTTTCTTGTCCTGTCATGGCGCTGAGACTTCATGACTGCGTAGTATGGCTCTGCGACTGCCTCGCTGCCTCCCAAGCGTGAAGCCACATCTAATAATGTGCAAAGATATATTAATATACCTCAAATATAATGAAATATTCTATAGCTCAGAATTAGAAAAGGTAGGCGAGTACAGCACGCCGTCATTTATTGCTAACAGTTAGAGGCTCATTCTTATAAGAAAGTTTTACTACAAAATGATTCCACATTTGTAAGCTCTCATTAACTTTTTCCATTAGTTTTTCAATTATGAAGTCATCTCCCAACGCGCTTATTGGCTGGCCAGAAAGTTAACAAAAGGCTGTGGTATTCATCGTTGAACTAGCCTATAGTTCAAGGCCCAGCTATCAATGGCCCAGCTTGCCATTGATTTTTATATGTGCTCCATTTTAATTCATTACGACTGCAAATAAAGAGATCGCGAGATGAGGCTCCTTGAAGAGGCTCTTCTTACTCAGTTATTATTTCAGTCAATATATGTGAAAAAATGTACAAGTAGTTTTTCAGTATAAAAACACTTGGCAACAGCGTATTGAAATGCATTGCTGCATTGGCAAGTGGCAACCGGAATCCGGTCTCCCTCCCTACGGACTCTAGTACTCTACTACTACACTACTGTATCTGTATATATATATATCAGTTCAATTCAGTTGCACTCATGCTTTCATCGTAGGTGCACGTGTATCGTTTTGCTCCAGCAAGCAGCCTCTGCGGTGTGCATCGCGTTGAACTCTATTGGTGACGTGATTTGTTATTAGGTAGGCTACTTCATAAAAGTTAATTCCTTTGAAGTTGTGCTCAACTTAGAGATAATTTGTTGATAAAATATTATTTTGTATTTATTCTAATTGAATTTATTGAAATCTTTAAGTGTTGCAAATTTAGTTCTTCAAGTGCAAATTAATTCATCCTATTTTTCTTCCTTTTTTATTTTAATCAAAGTAAAAGTTTTGGATCGAAAAACCGGTCAAGGTGGAATAAAAATGTTAAATCAACCATTATTTCTAGAATTTTATTCTGGTTTCTGCAGACAAGACAAAGTCCTGCTCAGGCTGACTGGCACTGCCGCACTGGTACTAGGTAGTTGGCATTGCCGCGCTCAGGCTCACGCCAGCCGCCGGCGCACTGTTAGCCTACCTACTGCATTTGCATTTGCATCAACCTGCAGCCTAAGGTCCAACCATCCAAGCCCCATGGAAGATGACAGTTCTTGTGCCAAAGTTAATTACTTAGCAATTGCATTTTTCACCATAGTCGCCTTTTTGAGGCTTTTTCAAAATTTGGTTTTTGAAGGGTGTTAGCAATACTAGCTAGTGATATCAACTATCAAGTACACACATATATAATATATATTATATTGTATTAGATTATTGATAGAAAGACCTGCAACTGTCTTTCTTGTATTTGTATATGTTGGCATACTAAGTCAGCTTAGCTGATAATTGTATGTTGTCAGTTGAGCAACTTGCAACTTCAAGTTGCAAGTGTCCTTTGCCAGTTTGCCTAAGGGAGAAGTGACCTGTCTGGATCAAGATTTAGGTAGGTATTATAAAAACCTTCTATCAATCTCTATTATTATTAGTGTTTGATTGATGCTAGAACCAAAGTGCTAAGTAGAAAATTGGGTAGAAGCTATCTGTGAATTGGACAAAAATGCCTGTGAATCTTCATAATTTCGTGATTTTTCGTCCATGCCTATTCATTGCTATTTCGTAATTTGACTAATTTCTTCAGTAAAAATTATTAAATGCGCCTATTTTTACCTGTTAAAATAAAAAATTTCCTGTGAAACAATAGTTTTTTCCCTTGATTTTAGGAAAATTTTGCCCAGTATTTCTAATTGATGCTAAAAAGTTATGCCAAAATTTCTGACTTGGTAATTCAGCAGTTTAGCCTTAAGCTTTATCAGGTACAAAAAAAAATTTTTTAGAATTTTCTTCTGTACCAGGTTTCATGAGTTTTTCTATGTTCCTGCTGTAAAGACGGGAAATTAGCTAGTACTGGTATCCTGGCTGACCTGGCATTATGTGGCATAACCTAAGATATTAAGAGCTGGTTTCCAGGTATTTTACTACGTTTTTCTTAGCTCGCTTTCGTGTCTGTGATGATCAAATCTTGCAATCGATATTTCACCAACTTTCCCATTAGGGTAAACGCGGTATATTCCGACACTTTAAGGACGCATCGAGAAATGAAAAGCTATAAAAAAAAACTGTATGCGTTACATAAGTTCTGTTGCCTTCACATGACTCTCAAAACACTTCACTACGCGTCAGCAACAATGAAACGTCACAAAATGTTGCCATATTTATTAAAAAGCCTTTAGAATGAAAACCTACCAAATCCTCCAGTAACTGAAACTGCAGAAGTAGCTGCTAAACAGCCCCTACTTGAGGCTACTTCTTAAATGTTGCCTACAATAACTGAAAATTGGTGAAGAATGTAAATTGCACAGATAAAGTTATGCCAGATATAATGCTGTCAAGTGTTGAGATTAAGCACACAATTGCATGTAAAATGAATTAATACTTATTGGCTGACAACTACATGATCTACATCACTTATTACAATGAGCATGGAGAGGGAACTTCATGTGAGATTTGAATCTTTCAAAAACAAAGATACTAGAATCCTCAGGGTACTAAATTGAAAGTAGAAAATTATTGTGAAAAATATCTATATGAAATCAACTTCTTCATAAATCATTGACAGTAATTTTTAGAACTTTTAATTTTAAGTATTGAGCAAGCAAGCAAGCAATTCTGAATTTTTTAATTTAAGAGCAATTAATCAGACTATATTAGATGACTGTGCAGGTGTGCACCTTCTCGTTCTTTTGTATGTACCACTATTATTAATGTGTTAGAAAACCTATTCATTTATAATGTTTCAATTTGGATGAGCATTTCTCTAAACATTATTTTCTTAATTTCTAGTACAGAAATGAATTATAATAAGGGTTATGCATGAGATGTACTGGAACATTGTAATTCTTAGTTCAGCTACCAGTCAACTAGATAGCAAATTGTTCCATAACTTCCACGGAAGTGTGAAGTCATTGGCTCTGTCATCCATATTATAATTATTGGTCCATCTCTTTCCCTCTGCAATGTCAACCACTGCCACAACATCTCCCATTGAAGCTGTTTCACTCATCAACAGCAATTCTGACCCTGGTGCTCCATCTCTTCTCACCCCTACATCTCCCATTACAACCTCATCCCTTATTAGCATCTCTTCTCATGCCAATGCATCATCACACGTCACTGACCCACCACCTGAGATCAACTTGCCTCAAGGCACACCTCTGGGCGTTTCCACATCTGGCTTGGTGAGAATAAATTTCTGTTTTAAATTCTTGGATTTTTTCAAAAAGTTGTGGTATTTATGCTTTATATTCAAGTTATATTATGTACGTATATATAATCTTTAGCATAAGGCAACAATCGTGTTTTTATATGGGTAGATACTTAGGAAGGTCATTCATTTCACAAAGTTTGCAGGCAATTGATTGCTATGTAACTTTCATTCAACTCATCTTGGATTTATGCATGCCATCTGATATATTAACTATTCCTTTTACTTTTAAAAATTTCTCACTCATGGTACAAGTATTAGTATTGATCAGCTGATAAATTTTACCTCTGATTAGCAGCAGGAGCAAAAGCTGAGCAAGCGATGTGGAACACGAGCGAAAAAACTTGTGAAGAAGTATCTCCCAATTTTGACCTGGGCCCCATCCTATTCATTGGGACATGCTGCTCGGGATGCTGTAGCAGGACTTTCTGTGGGACTCCTAACTGTGCCTCAGGTCCTGGCCTACAGCATGGTGGCTGGTCTACCACCAAATGTAAGTTGTAAACCAGATAATATTATTTAAATAGGAAATATCTGCTCATTTTGGCTGGAAACTATAATAGGATAAATTTAAATATGCACGCACTATGACCGATAAATTTCAGATTAAGAAACTAATTTGCTTCAATTAAAATTCTGAGTATCAGTTTTTTTTATATTTTTGGTGAGATCTTCTAACGAATGTTTTTTTAGCAAATCGTATCTACATTATATGTTTTTAAACAACATGTGGAATTGCTAAAACATGTGGAATAATCCTTTTACTCCTGTGTGTGCCTCAGTATGGACTGTACTCAACTTTTGTGGGGTGCTTCTTGTATGTCCTGTTTGGATCAACCCCTGGTCTGCGTATTGGTCCTACTGCCGTGATGGCCATTCTTGTTGAGCAATACACCAATCATGGCGGCCCTGATTATGCTGTGCTCATATGTTTTACATCTGGCATCATTGAGCTTCTTTCTGCCATCTTTAATGCAGGTAGGTACTGAAATTGCCAAGAAGTCTTGTGCTTAACCAAAGCAGGAATATTTTTATGAATATTTATTTTATTTTATTTTTATGATATAAACTTTAGGAATATTTTTATGAAGTCAGTTTATTTATGTACTCTTTGGAAGTATGGAAACTGCTTTAGGTTATCTACTATATCTTAGCTCCAATTAAGTTATGTAGGGATAAAATGTTCTCATTTAAGTTGACATAATAAAATTTAATTTATTTTATTGCATTGTTTATCAAGTTCTCCTGAATTAAGATCGATTCATGAGCTTTAATTTACATTTTAAATTTTCCACAATAGCTACGTATAAGTATTAGCTAAGGCAGTAAACAAGTTTTGACTCCCATCAAATTGTTTTTCTTGCCTTAGCCAATTTCTGGTAGCAGCCAATTTGCATTGAAAGTCCACTTGATGTGAATTTTCAGCTACAATATATCTCAGTTGATTTGTTTGTTCCCTTTGAAATTATGCTCTTTCTCAATAGTCAACAATAATTTGATCATTTTGCAACAACTAATGCATTTTAATTGTTTTTTTTTCTATTAATATATTTATTCTAACAATTGATGCTACATTGCAGGGTTCCTGGTGAACTTCATTTCATCCCCTGTGATGAGCGGCTTTTGTTCTGCAGCAGCAATAACGGTGATGACGTCACAACTGAAGGCATTACTGGGCATTAAATTACCAACTAAAGGTGTTGTGCACACCTGGGTTACGCTTGTCAAGAACATATCCCTCACCAACTGGCCAGATTTGGTTCTTGGTGTTACCTGCATCATATCATTAGTCTTGCTCAAGGTGATTTTAAGTAGATTTAAAATTTTATTTGACCATTGATGTAAGACTAAAATATTCCTAGAAAACTTACCTTTGCATGCAATGTTTTTCACTTTCTGCTTGCTCCTCACTACACTAGTTATGGAAGATTGTTTGTGTGATTCAATAGGATTTCATGCCATGAGCTGTGGAATTTTTAAAATTTGTATTAGTTCTCCTTGTATCTTTGCTGATTTTCATTCAAAATGTTAAACTACAGAATTTGCAGGAAGCAATTTATACAAGTCATTATCAGACTCGAAGTGAGCATCCATTGCAGCAAGAAAAAGTCACTATAGATTCCTTATATTTTTTATTGATTGGGTACTCCCATCTTTTATTGACTGTCAATTAGAGATAATTAACAAAGCAAATTACATTTGAATTGAACTGGTCGTTCTTGCTACTTCATTTGATAAAGGCTTTTTTTGTTGAACCAATTGCACTGGCCTTCTGTGTCTAACTTTCTGAATTTTTACAAGCAATTATCACAATTTATCAGGACGTAACCTACAAATATTGAAGTTTTTAAACCTTTGAATCACACAGGATAATTCGTTTGTTTTAATTTGGTTCCTTATTAAATTACGGTATAGACTGGCAAAGAACTAATTGATAAATTTATCTTCAGAATATGGAGGCTCTTGTAAAGTGCTGCATCAAGAAATTCAGGAGAGATAGCATAAAAGAGGCACCAGAGAAGCAAACTACAAAGGAAGATGCAGAAATGGAGTCCATTCAGGAAGACCCAGAAAAGGCAAGCATGAAAGAGGAGCCAAAGGAAAAGAAAAATTGTGCCAAAGGAGTTTTCTTCTTTTTCAGCCTTGGAAGAAACGCCATCGTGGTCCTTCTTGCTACCCTTGTTGCTTTCATTACTGGGGGAGGAGGGTTAACAGTGACGGGTTAGTGAGGGTAACGTGCTGGGGGAGGCTTAACAGTGATGGATTAGTGAGGGTAACGTGCTGGGGGAGGGTTAACAGTGACGGGTTAGTGAGGGTAACGTGCTGGGGGAGGATTAACAGTGACGGGTTAGTGAGGGTAACGTGCTGAGGGAGGGTCAACAGTGACGGGTTAATGAGGGTAACGTGCTGAGGGAAGGTTAACAGTGACTGGTTAGTGAGAGTAACGTCCTGGGGGAGGGTTAACAGTGACGGGTTAGTAACGGTAACGTGCTGAGGGAGGGTCAACAGTGACGGGTTAGTGAGGGTAACGTGCTGAGGGAAGGTTAACAGTGACGGGTTAGTGAGAGTAACGTGCTGGGGGAGGGTTAACAGTGACGGGTTAGTGAGTAGGTTAACAGTGACTGGTTAGTGAGGGTAATGTGCTGGGGGAGGGTTAACAGTGACGGGATAATGAGGGTAACGTGCTGAGGGAAGGTTAACAGTGACGGGATAATGAGGGTAACGTGCTGAGGGAGGGTTAACAGTGACGAGTTAGTGAGGGTAACGTGCTGCTGTAGGAGATAGTTCACCACGCTCAAGTATGATAATGATCTGTACATCACGTTGCCTCGGTATCACCTCCCTTAATTCTGCAGTTGCAGTAGCCGTACACATGCATACGGCCTTTTAGCCTAAATTAACAATGTCAAGCCTTACAAATTGGGAATGCAGAATCCAGCGTGAATTAATATCACCGCGGATGCTGGCCCCCAATATTATTCCTAGGGTTTCAAAGAGTGTGAAATGTTTAACAACAGGTCTCTAATATTTTTAAATTAATGTTTAGTTTGTGGTTATAAGCTGTAACGGCGATGCCTTGCAGGTTCAGTGGAACCTGGAGTGCCATCATTCAGCGTCCCCTCGTTCTCCCCGGTGGTGGGCAACGATACCGTGCCGTTCCTGCAGGTGCTGGCTGACGTGGGTGTTGGTGTGATAGTGATACCCTTCATCGCAATCGTCGATGACCTGGTCATCATCAGAGCAAGTTTTCCGAGCCTCAGCGTGGACACCAACCAAGAGATCGCCGTGCTTGGCCTCATCAACCTATGCGGGTCCTTTTTCAGGTGCTCATTTCCCGTCATTCTGTGTTAGACACAAAATAATATACATGTGGATTTATACACGCTCTATTGCTCTTGTTGCAAAAGAGAGATGTTGGAGATTGACCAGATGAATTCTTTATAATTACAATCTGAAATTGGGACAAGGTGGCAGGATGATTTTAATCCCACACGTAATAGTACAGGAGGTCTTAGCAATTCAGCCACTATAATGGCTGCTATTTAAGCTCGTACTCACGCATAGTACTATTTGTATCAATAAATTGATAGGTAATCCATCTTGCTATTGTAGACAACTGAATGTTTGAAGAAACCACCTCCTCTCCCCTCCCCAAGAAATCACATGGAGGCCCGTAGTTGACTATCATCTCATGGTTGCCTCCAGCCCCATAAGGCGATTTATCTCTAATGTATGCCCAGGGAAAATTGTTTCATATTTAATTTTCAGCTCTCGGTTCTATTGCGTAGTGAGCAGTTTATCAATCAGTTCAGTTTATTATAATTATTGTAACTGAGCTTCGTGGGCAAAGCTCGTGGTCTCTTCCGTGGCTTTTCTTACTGGCATCCTTGACAATTGCATAAATTTGGCGATATTTACTGCATGTCCACGGTATATCCGACTACCTTGTTGCTCATTATTTTGTTATGAGTATTCTCGAAAGTTCGCCTTTATATTTATGTGGTATTGTTGGGGTTGAGTGCACGTCTTTATTGACTAGTTCCTCTGCTTGGCAGCGATGGCGGGCTCATCTGATTAATAATTTTGTTATTTGTTAATTTTTTTCTATACGTATTACTTAAGCTCCGTAATTGATATTATTGGAATATTAGACAAGTTGTTATTGGACAAGTTTGATTGAAAGCCAGAAAATGGCAGTTTTTAACGTATTTAACGTATAACGTAACGTAACGTATTTTTTGCTGGCATTGGCAGAGTAGTGAACAGGTACATGTTGATACAAATATTATGTTATATATATATTTCTCATTATGCAAATGATGCATGGAGTCACTGATAGGAGCCTCCTGGCGTAGGGCGATGCCGACGACAGCGTCACTGTCGCGCACGGCGGTGGTGAACAGCAGCGGCGGCGTCACGCCCGCGTCAGGGCTGGTGGACGGCCTCCTGGTGGTGGCTGCCCTTGCCTTCCTTACTCCTGCCTTCAGGTGAACAATGCACTCATACATCCAGGAACTCTCTCTTTATTATCTACTTACACTCAAAAATATATTTAACCGCCCAACTTCTGCTTCTCGGAAGCCTCTCTATATGTTCTCCCTACACGACCGAACATACATCTCGATAGCAGTATCTTTTATAAAAACCCTGAAAGTTGATTGCATTAATAAACCCTCTTTATGCATTAAAAGGTGAACCTTCTCTATAACTTATCTCTGTTCCTCATTCGAATCCCCTCTGCGTTACCGTTTTCTTATTTCCATATGTAGCCGCTTCACGACCTCTCTTTGTAAGTCAGTTGTACCTCTGCACCTCCTACTCTGTTCATCAGAACGCTCTTCCTTACCACTCTCTGTCCTTTAATTGAACCGCTCCTTACCTCCCCTCTATCTATCGACCCTCTTCTTAACCCATTCTGCCCATCAGTTAACAGTACTCTATCCGTCAAATCCACCCTCTTCTGAACCCTCCCTGTCCATCAGTTGGACCCTCTTCTTACCTCCTCTCTATCCATCAGTCTCACCCTCTCCTAAACTCCTCTCTGTCCATCAGTTGGATCCCGCGCGCCAGTTTGTCTGCCGTGACGATGTGTGCCGTGATCCACTTGGTAGACGTGCACTTCGCGGCGATGCTGTGGCGGGCGCGGCACAAGATGGACCTGCTGGTGCTCGTCGTGACGTTCCTGACGTGTCTTACGTGGGCCATCGAGTGGGGCGTGCTGCTGGGGGCGCTGCTCCACCTCCTCGTCCTGCTTTTCGTCACAGCTCGTCCTGTGGTCGTGGTCAGCACGTCACTAATAACGTGCTGCTGATATCATTTAAATTCATTGTAACGATGTTCATTATTTGTGTATTTTCTCCTGTTTAGTGTGATCCATTATTGACACGTCAATATGTCATTATTTACTTTAATTACCTACTGTTTCTTTCCTTTCGGTAAACTTTTTTCCCCATTGGTCAAAATGACATGAAATACTAATTGAAAACTTCATTTTTGTTGTCCCGTTTTGTTAGTTCCATCACGTGATGGCGTCAGGGGTTGGCTGCAATTATTTATTTCCCCCCTCCCTCGCCCAGCCAATTGTGATAAGTATTCTTCCCCTTGGGCAGGTACAAGCGGAGGTGGACGAGGGGAAAGTGAGGGTAACCCCTCACCACGGGGTGCGCTTCCCCAGCATTGGCCACATCAGGGCGAAGGTTCAGAAAATTTTGAGGCCCAAGCGAGGCTTGCCCTCGGCCATCATCCTGGACTGCAGCTACATCACGGCCGTGGACTGTACAGCCGCTACGGTGAGACTTGTGGACTGTACTGCCGCTAAGGTGAGACTGTGGACTGTACTGCCGCTATGGTGAGACTTGTGGACTGTACAGCCGCTACGGTGAGACTTGTGGACTGTACAGCCGCTACGGTGAGACTTGTGGACTGTACTGCCGCTACGGTGAGACTGTGGACTGTACAGCCGCTACGGTGAGACTGTGGACTGTACAGCAGCAGCGGTGAGCTGTGGACTGTACAGCAGCCGCGGCTCGACTGTGTACACGTCTTACTCATTGCCTGCCGCGATTCATGTGCCCATTCATGGTCATTACCACCATTACTCTCAGTTACCATTATCCCATATCGTTGTAAATGTCCACTTATCGCCGCGTTCACCCCCAGGGTCTGGTGGAGCTGGCAGGAGAGTGTGAGGCGGCGGGTGTGGTGCTGCAGTTCGTGAACCTGGAACCTCGGTTGGAGAAGCCGCTGCTGGCGACGGCCAGGGACAGGAACGTCGCTCTGCTGGTGGTGGCTACGGCGAGTGCAGACATGAACAGTGGCGGTGTTCTCGAATGCAACCAACTTGGAGAACATTCTGTTTTACCCTTAGAACCACCCAAGACAACCGCAGGTTTGCCAAATGCATCTTCAGATCTTCCAACTCTATTATATAAACAAAACCCAATACTGCCACAGCCCCGCACTTCTCTACCAGAGCCAGGTGATTATTCTATCGCATAATTGCGTGAAAATTATTTGTTTCGATGCATGTTGGAATCTATGTATCTTACTATGGGCATGCCAATAATTTGAATCTTACATCACTGATCTAATATAAAATAATTTTAAAGTCCGTAAAAATGAACGTTGTTAAATGTGCGCGTTCTTTAGAACTTGGAATTTATTTAATTTTCTTATTTCAGCCAACCAGGTTGAGAAAGCCACGCCTCTAACAACTACAACGAGCCTTCAAAACACACAGTTACGAAAAAATACATCAGTTGCCAGTGAAGAAATTGGAATGAACGTAACAGATCCCCTCCTGTCCAGTAACTGAAAACTGGAATGGACGACAGAAATCCGTTTTCTCCCTCTACAACAACTGCCAAGTACTTAGTCTTCCGTCCAGCTAATCATTCATCGTGCCATTGAAATCATTCCCAGAATATTTTATGTTAATATAAATCGCCGAGTGTTATGAGAAATCAATGCAAAGCGGTTCTTATAGTTGAATATTTTATTAGTCAATATCTTTTCAGACAAAGTGAATCCAGTTATTATCGTGATTCTAATGACAACACATTGAAATCCAATCCAATTCATTTGAAACCCAATCCAGCCTTAACTATGGAACTCACAGGAACGGTGTTGTCGTTAAGAATTGAAAAATTCATGACAAGATTAATTGAGTTAGCCATGCCACTATTTCAGGGCTTAAGTTATTAAGCGTCTAAGCTCACGGTTTTTTACTTAACTGATTACCATATCAGAAATATGATGACGTTGCGCATAAATTTTGTTACGTTTGTTTGTTTAATAGAGGGCAATTATCGGTGCTGAGTAAATATATATATTTATATATTGCTAAAACATTACATTCATGAGTAATTTGGTATAGTACGTATATATTCGCTTTGCTTTTAAAATAAACGGGGCCGGGCCTACTAAATGCGTTAGATAACTATTGTTGAATTAAGTTTTGCTAGAAAAAGCTGATTTTCTTTTTATTTTGATACAGAATATATAATGTGCAATGAATCTCCTTTCCTTCAAAGTATTTTTTATCCATCAGACATGTCGATAATACCGCCGAACATCCGACCACGCTACTTCATTGACGTCGTAATTTACCTATGATGATAATTTCACAAACTTTCTCTTCCCTGATAAAATTACATACATTCTTAGTCGTAGATCCTCAAGGCAATCTATTTCACATCGGTTGCGCGGCAGTGTATAATGAACATTTAGGCCGTAATGATCATCATGAAAGCTGTGCGTCTCGTTAATTCATTATATGCAAATAAAGTGATAACGTTGGATTTATCCCATGCACTGGAGCGACACATCAATTCCTCTAACTTTTCATGGGCCAATCTGACGAAACTACTGAAGAAATGTAAACTCTGGACGCTACTAACTTTCATCTTCATTCATCTAGCTGAAATCTTCTGCCCATTTCAGCTCTTGGATCTTAATAACTGAACTACAAGCTCTTGGAGGGTCAAACAATGCGGTCACGACGTTTACATGTTCACTTCTTGTGAAAACAATACAGAAAAAAATTAGTGCCTCTACGCAAGACGTACATCGAAGCGAACGCTTGTTCTCTAAGTGCCGGAGATCAAAGTTTACGTACGAAGCTAGACAGATACACGTATTGCACTGAAAATAAATATGGGAACATGGATATAATAAAGTACGTAATTAGAGGACTAACGTAAAGCGAATCCGCCATTAGCTAAACACTGTCGCTTGCTGAAAGTTTTATTTCAACATTCAGCAGCTATCTTGGTTAGGAATTCTAATTTCTGACACCGAACATCTCAGCCCGAGTGATATGTTGAAGAAAACGAGCGCTGTACCGGATAGACAAGAGAGGCGCTGTACCGGAGAGACAAGAGCTGTACTGGATAGACAAGAGGGGCGCTGTACCGGAGAGACAAGAGCTGTACTGGATAGACAAGAGGAGCGCTGTACCGGAGAGACAAGAGGGGCGCTGTACCGGAAAGACAAGAGCTGTACTGGATAGACAAGAGGAGCGCTGTACCGGAGAGACAAGAGGGGCGCTGTACCGGA